CTTTTGTCTTTACAGATTTGGAAGTTGAATAAGGCCAGAGTTAGGGTTAAAATAGGGTCAAAATTTGCTCTCCTCTGGCCAGTGTGTCAGTCTTGGTTAAAAATATCTGATAAGCATTTAGAGTAGCTTTGAGTAGTTCAAATAGGCTTACAAGCTTGTTAGCTTAACTAATCCAGATAAATACCCAGTGCAATATAATACAGGTACATGAAGGCTGAGTTTTTTTTATCAAGATTTGACTTTTCAAGGTACATTAAACAAGGTTACATTCAATTTGTAAAAGATGTTCAATTTGGACTCTTCCATGTTCACTTTAAATGCCAGCAAATCGACTCGAAAACCCAAAACGAAATTACATATTATCTGATCAGTAAAACCAACAAGAGAGTTAAAAATTGAAATTAGCTAATGGGATAATTTACTAGATTATTGGATTTACTGGATTACTATATTATCTTATTAACCAAAGTACAGGTTAATGAAATATTAGTAAGAAAATTGAAATGAGAAATTGAATTATAATAAATGAGAAAGTATTGAACATTCAAATTCACAGAAAATTAAAAAAAGGAAAGTTTAAACATGCTAACAAGATTGAAATTGAATGGCAGCATGAAATATCGTCTTACAAAAGGGTGAAGCCGGAGGTACAGTTGTGGTAAACAAACAAACAAAAGTAAACGTGAAAATTCGTAAATTTGCGGTAAAGTTGAATTAAAATGATCAGCATTATTTAAAGACAAGAAATGAATCACAAGGAGTTGCAATGAATAATGATTAAAATGGCATAAAAAGAACAAAAAGTTTTGGGGTCGTCCGGGATTTGAACCCGGGACCTCTCGCACCCTAAGCGAAAATCATACCCCTAGACCAACGACCCGACTTATGGATAATTGCCACTAAAAATGGATAAGGCAATCACAGGAATCAACCTCAACTTTACAATGAAATAAAATAATGGTTTGAATTTGCTAATTAACTGACAAATTGGTATATTATAGTACTAAATGACTGTGATTGGTTCAATTTAATATTGAGCAGCAAAAAATTTCAGAATATCAATAGACACTTATGTGTTATCTTGAATCTTTCTGTAAAGTTACATCGTCAACAATTTTATGGGAAACAATTAACATACTAGTAACTACTAGATGTAATTAGATTTATCAATTTAGACGATATAATGATATAGTTTGTCATGTAATGTTCAAGAGTTTAATATGAGATGATTAGGGTTACGTTATTTCATAACTTACCCGAAAGTTGGCGAAAGTAAAGCTGGAGATTAAATCCTGGATATAATTATAAATACTACAATATGGATTGAAATTTTACACAGACTATGATGCTTTAGCTTTTTAAGCACTGGATTTTATAATTTTTGATTTTGAAGTAAAAAGGTTAAATTATGGGTCGACCGATAATTTTGACGAAATTTTTTAGACAAATGGACTTTTGCAAAGAGTAGGATAACTTTACTTTACTCTTTGGACTTTTGTCTGTGGCGCCGCTGTAAACAGCTGATATCCTAGCTATTTACGCTTTTTGACAAGCTGAGTAAAAATCTTTATTGTTATAAACTATTTACGATTTATTTAATTATTAATATATTTTGTGATTTTTTTGTGTTTTACTCAATGAAGCCCAACAAAGATGGATTATCTAGTCAAAATAAAAAAGAGGAAATTCAGCCATGGAAACCAGAGAAAGAAGTTCAACTTTTTTATGCATTAGGTGGACGAAGACCTGTTGGTAAGTAGTTTTTTGACCATTTATCAATTGTCGATCTAATTTTATGTTTTACAAATTAAATTATCTGTTATTTTTTAGGTATAAATAGGTTTTTCCAGATGATCTTTGTACAGGAAGAATTTAACCGATTAACTGGTCAGGAAGTTACCTCTGAAGTTATTTGGAAATATCTCGACACAATTTATGATATGGATGTTTTAGTAAGCTATTATTTTCCTCAAACTTTCACCTACAATGTGATTTTAATATTTCTTTCTAATTTAATCTTACAGAATGAAAACGAAGATCTGCCTTTTAGCAATAAACAAAGTGATTTTGTATTACCACATGACTATCAAATACCATCTATTCCATTGTCACTGCCAGCGACACCAGCCACTCCGACAAAGTCTCCGAATAAATCAACCAAAAGCTGATAAATATTTTCACCATGCTATTTGAACCTCAACAAAGTGAACCATGACTTGCTAGATTCCAATTGGCTAGTTGAAAATGGATAGCGATTAAGAAATGTAATGCTTGCCGATTGACTGAAGAAACGAAATTTTATTACGGCTTATTCAATTAATTCTTTCTCAGAGTTATTTCTTATTCAGTTATGTTATGCAGTTCAATACGCAATTATTCGGTTAATATTGACCACATCTTTATTCTCGAAACATATTTTTATTGACAGAATATTGTTACATTATTAGTAATCTCTACAAAATGTACATTGTAAAAAGCAAAGATTCTTGGTCAATTCATTTACGATCCCAAATTTTCAGTTGGAGTTTGTAATCTTTCAGCTCATTATTCAAAATCTCCTACAGATCAAACTGGTATGACTGTATCATCTTACCATTTATTGGTACACTTCTTAAATGTCTTACAACTTTAGTTTTATGTGATCAGTGTACAAGTGAGTTACGTTGAACTTGAAAAGTCATTTCCAGCTAGTTGATTGATTAAATTTTGGATTTCTTTAACAAATTTAACTTCGCATTTGGATTCTTTTGAATATTAATTTGAACTTCCTAAAAAGTTTATTCCAGGATCATCTTACATTTCTATGATTGACATGGAATAAATGAAATATTAAAAATTTGAAAAAAGGCCAAACAAAAATTTACTTTTTGATTTCCCACACAAACCACAATCTATCCATTAATGTCTTTTCTTATCTCCTGGAATTGCACCATCTTCAGAGATTCTGGTTTAACAAATTTACTCATTAAATGAGCGCTTATTAATTAATTAAGCCCTCCTATTCCCCTCCTATAAACCAACACAAACAGCACTGTTGATCCTTCCGTCAATCTGACGGAACAAGCCAAGTCTCAAATTGTCAGTCAAACTGGTTTCCTATGTTTTCTTATAAATTTTATGAGAAAAGATTAAAATTTCTTGAAACCAACTCCAGATCAACAGTTTGATCTGAGAAAGTAACATCAGATCTCTTTTTTTACATCAAACATCATCGTTATCTTCATGGATATATCAAGGTGTGGAAAAATGTTTATCCTATTCATCGTATGCGTAACTTTCCCGTGTATATTTTGTGCTCGAAGAAGTGGATTAGTACCAGGATCTACTGGCTTATCTGGACCAATTGTTTTCCCAAATTCACAAAGACGTCCAAATGTAAGTCTCTTCTTGTCCAATCAATTTAACTTAAATTTCCCTGATCAAAGGAAATTCCTGTTGTTCATTACTACACCATAAATATATAATTTAGCTGTTAATTAAAAATCTAGACCTAAAATTATCCACTGAATGCTCTTTCCTATGTCAGTCTCCCAATGAAGTTAAAATTGATTTTTAAAATGTCTTTTGTTTATTTCCAACAGACACCCAATTCATTTGATACTGCTTTAATACGAACTGCTGGTCTACGTAATGCAAGTGAGGTTTTTGCTGCTCTTGGTATTCGTGAAGATAATGCTGATCCTCTTTTAGGTCGAAGGAAAACAAGTTATGCTGAACAAGCTATTTGCGAACCCGAATTACGGACAGTTGAGGTTGGCGTCAAAGGAGGTGAAGTTGGTGAAATATTTTTCCCCAAATGTGTCCGAGTATTACGATGTGGTGGTTGCTGTGACATAAGTGATCGGATGGCCTGTACACCAACCAAAATATCCTATCGGGACGTGAAAAGAGCCAAAATACGGATAAAGAGATCACCAGCAATATCAGCCTCTTCACAGACAATACAAGTTGAAGTTCACGAGGAATGTCGCTGCATGTGTAAGTAAATTTGTACCGTTTATCTTTGTATGATTTCCCTCTACAAACCTGATTTGCTCTTAAATTTTCTTGTTTCGTTGTTTTAGGTAAAGTAAAGGAAGAAAATTGCAACCCGGACATTCATGTTTATCAACCAGAACTTTGTAAATGCACTTGTAATAACCAACAGGATGCCATTGCCTGTCGTAATATGGCTCCAGTTAAAATCTGGGATAATGATCAATGTAAATGTAAATGTAGAGATGTTAAACATTGTCCATCAGGAACTGAGTTCAGTCATGATACTTGCAAGTAAGTATTATCAATTATGAGAAAATGTTCAACATCGTGTTCATGTTCAATATCATTAATGCAATTATCTCTTTTATTTGCCTTTCAGTTGTGAAGCTTCATGAATATGGATTTGTTGGTTTTAGTTTGTCAGGTTTAATGATGTCAAGCAAGAAATTAACAAATCATCTATGATCTGGTAACCAAATGAACAATTAATAGTCAGTATTTTTGTTAACATTTTTAGGTTACAAATGAAATGCCATGTACATTAAAATTACACTTTTTTGCACATAAATTATTCTGAAAATGATTCGAGATTAAATCAATTTGAATTGAGCCAATTTAAAGTAATTAGATTATTAACTCTGTCATGTCAATGATCTTGGTGGTAAAAGTTGATATCTTTCTAATGGACAGAGTAGTTTGATCAATGTACGATGTATGGAAATCAGACCGGTTATCCATAATTTCCAGAGCTTCAGTTAGCAATCAAAGATTACTGGAAACTATGAAATTTCATCTCTTCAAACTGGTAATACCTTGTATCTAGATAAGATGATTATCTTAACGATCGGGATGAACTCAGTCACTCAAACATAGAATTCAATAATTTCGGTTCTCTGAAGAATTGATTCGATAAAGTTGTAATGTAAGTTTAACAAAAACGATGATTCTAACTAATCTGAACAATTACAAAACAGTAAATTAAAATAACATTTCATGATTTCATTTTCATTGATTCATACTTTTTCGAGTACATTAAACATATTAAAATGTAACTTAACAACATTTGAATAAAATTAACATTAAACTAACAATAATCTTGTAATAATGATCAAACATCAAACAGCGAAAAAAGTCACGAGTAAAATAAATTATCATTGTCCGTTGAAATGATTTTGAAAGATATTACATTGAGACTTATATAGACAGTAACAGCTAAGAATTGGCATAGGCTCAGGCCTAAAGATCGAAACAGAGACATTAACTGTTAATTCTTAGTTTATTTTAGCAATGCATATTAAAAATGAAAAGTAACTATCATTCAGGTTGTTTGAGTTATGAGCTTACCAGCTATGTCAGATAGTCGTTTAGATGCTTCTGAGTTTTCAAATTGATTCAGGTAATTAATTCCCTTTTCAGCTGATTCACAGAGGTCAGGATCAATTGGTATGTTGCCTAGAAATGTGACATTGGCAAGTTCTGCTAATGATTGACCACCACCACTCGAGAATATGTTAGTGCAATCAGAACAATGAGGACACACATAACCACTCATATTCTCGATTATGCCCACTATTGGTATTCCTGCTTTATGGCAGAAAGTAATTTCTCGGCGAACATCGTTGACGGCAATTATTTGAGGAGTAGTAACCAAAATCGCGCTGACATCATCAGCTCTGTGTTTAAGTGCCTCAGCAACAGAAATATGTTCATCTGATGTTCCAGGTGGAGTATCAATTAAAAGGTAATCAAGGTCGCCCCAATCAACATCTTCCAAGAACTGTTTAATCATGGCATTCTTTTTGGGTCCCCGCCAAATTACAGCTGAACTACTATCTAGAAGTGGATAAAGACAATAATGTTTAATTTAATAGTGAGCTAGAAACGTAATTAGTATGTAAGACTAGAGATAAGAAAGCAAAAATCAAACCAAAAGAGTAAAAGATCAGGATTTAAATTTCCTTAGCTTTGAATTGATAGTTATTTTCTCAAAGACGCGAATAACGTTTTATAGAAAATCTATGCCTCAGTTATGAAAAATAAGCATTTTTTAAACGCATAAATATTTACTTTTAAGTAGGAATGCAATCGACATCACAGCTAAAGGCGAAAATGGCGGTGTTGTTAACGTTGTTAATGGTATCCATCCTTTTTCATTACGATAAATGGTGGTTTCATTCAAACCAGTCATCAAGGCAATGCTGGGTCCACACAAATCTAAATCAAGCAAACCAACTTTTTTGCCCATCTTACTCAACGATAGAGCCAAATTAACGGCCGTGGTACTTTTACCAACACCACCTTTACCAGAAAGGATTAGCAATATTTTCTTTACCTGATCGATATTAGACATGATGCATGAACTGGAAGAAAGCAGGAAAAACAATATAAAAAGGAAGGTGAAAATCATTATAAATTAACATGATAAGTACATTATATGACAATAATTACAAACATCAATGATCTACAACTCATAAAACATTTGTTTAATAAAGATCAAGAATTTAAACTTGAATAAAAACATGTAAATTACTTACATTTAATAATGACTTCGATAAACACTGAAACTTGAAAAATATTAAAATCTAGTGGATAACACAGAAGTTCAGCTGATTTGGTTTATTTATCAACATTTCTAGAAGAGTTGCATAATTTTTGGTACAGTGCTATTCTACAGATAAAATTCATTTTTATTTTTTACATCAATATCTTTTGTTCGAGCTTTTAAAGATTCAGAATTGATATGGATTGATCTTCAATTTAAATGATGTCAGGCATCGGAGAGATATCCAGACTTTTAAATGAAAACAAAATTTGTGTTAGGCTCTTTGTGTACATATAACCTCAACCAGTCTCAATGTACCATAGCTACAGTAGCAGTTCAGATTTCTTTCACTTCTTAACTGTTTCTGGGACAAGTTATTGAAAATTTCACTGTAAATAACCTTTTCACCGTTTTTTAGTTCCTGCTTTAGTAATTTTTCGTTTTGCATATTTTTTGTGATTTATTCAAATGAAGCCCAACAAAGATGGATTATCTAGTCAAAATAAAAAAGAGGAAATTCAGCCATGGAAACCAGAGAAAGAAGTTCAACTTTTTTATGCATTAGGTGGACGAAGACCTGTTGGTAAGTATTTTTTGACCATTTATCAATTGTCGATCTAATTTTATTTTTTACAAATTGAATTATCTGTTATTTTTTAGGTATAAATAGGTATTTCCAAATGATCTTCGTACAGGAAGAATTTAACCGATTAACTGGTCAGGAAGTTACCTCTGAAGTTATTTGGAAATACCTCGACACACTGTATGATATGGATGCACTGGTTAGTTAATTAAACAATTTCCTTTTTCTGTTGTTTTTTTAATCATTGGTTGTTCTCATAATTTTTTCTCTCACTTACAGAATGAAAACGAAGATCTGCCTTTCAATAATGAACAAAGTGATTTTGTATTACCACCTGAATATCAAATAACACAAACACCACCGATGCCATCGGCAACTCCAGTAAAATCTCCTAGTAAATCTGCTAAATAAATCCGCTCATTCTTCATCTATTTATAATCCTTTGAACAATTTCTAGTTTTTTGTATTGCAGTGATATGTATACTATTTTGTATCAATAACTAAATAATTTATGCTCAAAACAAATATTTTCAAAATCTAGAATATTGTTCTTGCATGTGTTTCTCACTGGCCCGTGATATACAATTAAATTATTCAATTCAATCATCAAAATCTATATATGAATTTAAAATTATTTGCTTATTTCTGTTTTGCTAATTAAATTTATTTTCTCATTTAATTTAAATTTTGCATTCGAAGTGATGAATTCATAGAGGATAAAGTGTGACATGTAGACAGATAACACATTTCTCCCTAGATTTAGCCAATAGAACTAAAACAAGTTGTGGCAAGCTGTCTTAGTGTGATTTAAATCTAATAGCAGAGTATCAAAATTAATCATGTTCATCATGCTCAAATATATTATTCCTTTGATTGTCATTTTACTTAATTTTAATTATGCTTCGGCTGATGGTGAAACACTCGTTTTACTTGACAATTTGGCCATCAGAGAAACACATTCCATATTTTTTAAATCCTTGACCGGTAAGATACTGTTCTATACATTTTTCTGAATCCTAGAACGGTGATTCAATGATAATTGTATAATTTTGTATTGTCATAACTTTTTAGATCGTGGATTTACGTTAACTTACAAGGTAGCTGATGATCCCACCCTGACTCTGATAAAGTATGGTCAACCTGTTTACAAGCATTTGATTATCTTCTCTCCTTCAGTTGAGGGTAAGTGGTTTCCCATTTTGTCTAGTGTTATTAGACATATTTAAAGCATTTTCAGTTCTTTATCGTCTAATCTAATTCTATTAAATTTTTGTTCTTTCAATCAAGAATTCGGTGGTAGTCTTAGTGTCTCAGCAATCACTGATTTTATTGACAATGGAGGTAATGTTCTCGTCGCAGCTAGTAGCAATGTTGGAGATGCAATTCGGGAACTTGCTGCTGAGAATGGATTTGAAATTGATGAGGAGAGTACCGCTGTAATTGATCATCTAAACTTTGATGTCAAAGATGACGGTTCCCACACACTTATTGCCACTGATTCTGCTAATTTACTTGATGCTCCCTTAATTGTCGGTGACAAAAAGAAACTCAATCCTATTTTATTCCGTGGTACTGGAATGATTTCTGATCAAAACAATCCACTTGTCTTGGATATTCTCAGAGCTTCATCAACTGCATATTCTTACAATCCAACCAAGAAAATAACTGAGGTAAATTTAGTTTTAAATGCATTAATTTTTAGTCACTCCAATATTTACATTATCGCTTTCAAATTTTTTTGCAGTATCCTCATGCCGTTGGACGCAACACTTTACTTATCTCTGCTCTTCAAGCCCGTAATAATGCAAGAGTGCTTTTCACAGGATCTTTAGATCTTTTTAGCGACAAATTATTCCGTAGCTCTGTTCAAAAGTTTAATTCCAAGCAAATTCACCAAAAATCTGGCAATGAAGAGCTCTGTATCGCCCTTTCCAAATGGGTATTCAAAGAAGAGGGTGTCTTACGTGTGGGTAAAGTTGAACACCATAAAGTTGGTGAAACAAGTCCACCAGAATCATACACTGTCATGGAAGATGTTGTTTTTTCAATTGTTGTCGAAAAATTAGATAAAGGTAAATGGGTGCCTTACATTGCGGATGATATTCAACTTGAATTTGTTAGAATCGATCCATTTGTTAGAACCAATTTACAAAAGAAAGGTGATAAATATGTTGCACAATTTCGCATCCCTGATGTTTATGGGGTTTATAAATTTGTCGTTGATTACCAAAGGATTGGTCTAACTCATCTATATAGCAGTACTCAAGTTTCCGTTCGTCCTCTTCAACATACACAATATGAACGCTTTATTAGATCAGCTTATCCTTATTATTTCAGTGCTTTCTCTATGATGTTTGGTACCTATCTTTTCAGCTATGTTTTTCTTTATCACCGAGATGCAACAAAACAAAAAGATGAATAATTAATTAATTAACTTTAGTGAACCTCCTAACAAGAGGATCTTAATAATATAACAAATGCTAATTAATCTACTCCTTTTCGCTATTCATTCTAATTATATATTGGTTAATTTATATATTAAATAAAATTGTAATTGAAAAACTGAAACATATTTTAACTTGAAATCATTACGCACAGTGAATGTCATTTCCAATCCCTGAGTCATAAGTTTGGAGATAAGTCTTTTGAAACCTGAAAAGACTTCGCATTTCGATTACTGACCGAGTTAGACTTTATCTTATCTTGCTTTTATTTGTTATTCTCAATTTCAAGTAATCGCAATCGATAACAGTGATTTGGAAAAATTATTAGATATTATTGGAAAAAAGACAAACAAGACAATTTCAAAAATTGTGAATTTTACTTCGAAGTTGGACAATTCAATTTTTAAATAGCTTATCATTCTTAAATAATCCTAGATGTTTTAGCAACTGCAAATTTACATTTATTTTAACTCTTTTGACCCGAGGTAAACTGTTTAAATTTACAAGTTGAAACAAAACTAGACTTGACTAACTTTACTTAAACTTCTTAAAAAATCGAGTTTGTCCTGTTTTTGGGTGTAACTCGAAATTGAACACAGATACTTCATAGGCGTCTTCTTGTTTTTTAACCAATAAGCCATCGCTAACCTGCTTTAAAGCCGTTTAAATCGTTAATCTCCTTTAAGCAATTTAATTTTTTGTAATGTCCAACCTCTAGATGGCGCATTTACTGTCAAATATTGTATTGAATGTATTGTGAGTTGAAAGACAGATGAGTTAGAAAGCAAAAGAGTAAGAGAGAAAGAGTGAAAAAAAACACTCTGATCATCAATTTAATTTTACATTTATTTTAGAATTAGGTCTTTGATTGTTGTGAATTTGAACCTTTTTGTACATTATTGTGTTCTCGTATATTCAACCGTTATCTTATTTATGTGCTATTGATGGTTTACGCTAGACAATGTCTTCTCTAGCCTCCTCATCATCATCGTGTTCACAGCAGCAGAGGAGCCTTCAAAGGGAGAGAGAAAGGTATCAACGTGAAAGACAACAAGTGACCATCAGTGGTGTTAGTGGTTGTGGTGGTGTTGTCGGTGGTGTACCTGGTGAATCTTTCCACTCTGGACCTCCTGGACCCACGCCTAACTCTTTATTCGGTGAACCCATTAAGAAACATCAAGACGATGAAACCTCAAAACGTATCAAGTCAACATTAGGTGATTTTGATCATGTACAGATGTATTTAAGGTATGATCATAAGCCGTTAATAGGTATATCAACGAGGGAGATAACGCGAATTAATGGGAACAAAGCTAAAATTGAACAGATTTTTAGTGAGATGAAACAAACGTTTCAACCCCTTGGTGCTTTAGAAGATGGTGAAAGTGAAGGAAGCCGTGGTACTCGGGAAGAAGAAGAAGATGATCGCGAAGAGGAAGATGACGAGGAAGAAGATGGAGACGAAGATAAAGAGGAAGAGGAAGATGGAAATGAATCCGATTCATCTAGTTCATCGGGGTCTTCGAGTTCTTCCAGTTCTGCATCCAATAGTTCATCATCTTCCAATTCTGATGACGATGACGATGAAGAAGAAGATAAAGAAAAGTCCAATGATGTTAAAGCTAACGAATCAAGTGGCTCCGAATCTAATGTGAAGCGTAAAGGCTCTTCTGGTAGTTCAAGTTCCTCATCGTCCTCCTCTTCTTCCTCTTCCTCCCCCAAGAATCAACCTCGTTCACCACCTCAAAGTGAAGTATCTACATGGAATTTGACCAATTTTATGGACAAGAAGACTACAACAAGTGTTTCATCTAATTATCATGTACATAAAGAAACAGTGAAAGTTACAAATGATAGCATAAATGATGTTATTGACAAAGTTGCTCGTGGTGAGCTCGGTGAAGATGCAATGGACACAAGTAGTAGTAATAGAAATCATTATAATCAACATCATCAACCTCCACCGTCAAGTGATCTTCCACCGACAAAGAAGAGAAAAAAATCAAGTCAATCATCACAATTCGTATCACAACAGCAACATCAACATCAGCATCAACACCAGCATCAACATCAACATCAGCATCATCAACAACATCAACATCAACAGCATCATCAACAACAAATACAACAGCACTACCAAGAAACTACTAGGCAACAATTTAGTCAAGAATCCAGTTATCAGCGAGAGAAGACGAAAACGACGGAGCGAGCCAAGAAAGAAGTCAACCGAAACAGCCTTACTATTGAAAAACAAGATAAACTAACAGCGCCAAAGGCGCCGGAGAAGCTTTTAGTCTCTATTTCATTAGTACTGCTCAAAAGGATACCTGGTCAAAACAAAGAGTCATCTAGTTCTAATAATAATAATAATAATATCAGAGATGGTAATAGTAGCAGTAGTAGTAGTAGTTCCAACAGTAGTAGCAGTAGTAATTATACCAATCATGTGAAACACGAGCCAAATAATCTACCCAGCAAAAGTGATTTATCTTCACCACCACACAGGTCATCTTTACCTCCACCTTCTCGTAAAGGAAGAAGTTCACCTCAGCCAGGTAAGCTTATATTAAATCTTCATTATATATCCCTATCAATAACAAAATCATTCTTGACCCACATTGCTCTCTTTCTTATAATACATTATGAATGAACATCAAATTCTAATCTATATTTTTTTCTTTTTTTCTCTCTGTTTTAGTCCCTCCACCACCTCCGTCTACTCATCCGGATGTCAATCCAAGCTCTTCAGCATCATCTATAACCAATACCTCCATAACTTCAACGCCTGGTTCATCAGTTCCATCTTTACCTTTCACACCTCCTTTATCAGCATTATGCAACCGGACAACACCGGACACTTTGGCTGCCGATGATTACCTTAAATCAGCTAAAAAGTTAAAGCATGCAGCGGACAGGGAAACCGATCGGACTGTACAAGCACGAAAGTATCTTGAAGCTGTACTATATTTCATCTTAACTGGAAACGCGATGGAACAGCGGAGTTGCAATGATTTAGAAAAAGTTTTCATAATGTACAAAGAAACTCTTAGCTTGATACGCTATATTTCCGGAAAATTTGCCAAATCCCGAATATCAACACCTGAAGAAATTCCTACAACAGACCATAAGTTAACAGCTCTAAGTTTTCGTTGTCAAGCACTTTTGTGTCTCAAGTTAAGTCGTCTAAAGGAGAAAGAGATTCGCAGCAATTTTAAATATATCCAGAGTAATATTGAATCAAATAATATTAATACCAAGGACAAGAACTCAGTCACCTTACCTAGCCCACTTTTCAACGCAATGAATCGCCAGATAAGCCTCCTTCAGCAATTAAATTCTGCTCACGATCTCTGGCAACAAGCAGATCATCTTGTCGAGAAAAACCCTTCATGTGCTGCTTTCTTTGCAACTGTTGACGCCGAATGTGGCTCACTTAGCCTTACCTCTTCCTTTGATGATCTCGTACGTTATGTAACCACTGGACTCAAGATATTAGAGTGATAATCATATACAAATATATATACAAAATAAATATGGTTTTTTGTCATTGCAATTGAAAACAGAGATTACGACTTATTTGACGACAACAAAGTTTTTACTGGTCACCGGAGACGAAATGATCTGCACCCATCATTTGAGTCTGAACATATGAACAAAACGAAAGAAAGATTATATTGTTGTTAATTTTAATTATTTTTTAAAGAAACAAATCTTTATCGAAAAGTAATACAAAACGGAAAATTACAATTTATATTCAATACAAAGAAAACACACAAACATCAAAACTATTGAACAAAAATCAATTTGACTTTAACTAGAAGAATGTAGTTATTTTGTTCATGTAAACAAACTCCTTGGATAAAAACTTTCTCCTCTTTTTTTGCCCATGTTTTGTTCACCAAAATGTTTGTACATATGATTTAATAATTACAAATAATAAGCTAAATTTAATTTTCAATTATTTCGTCTCTTACTTTCTTTAAATCAACCTTTTAAACCAAATTCACAAATTTTCTCCTTTTCAACATTATTTTAGTAAATAAATGAATTTTAAACTATTGATTATTTTTCTACTTTTTTTTCTAATTTTACCTCAATAGGTGATCAAATTAAATTACAATTCAATAACCTGTCGGTGATTGTTCCTTGGTCTGTCCTTTGAAGTAATTAGTTGGATTGGATGGTCCCGTGGATGTTTTACTTTGTTGATGTCCACCTCTATATCCTGACCCAGTAAAGTTAGGATTTTCAATGACAGGTTCATTTCCCCTGTTGACTCCCGGTGAACCCCAGCTTTTATCAACTGTTTGACCCTGCTCTTGATGATGACCTGCATAACTGGACGGAGGTGTTAAAAATGTTTTACCTTCCTTGCCAGACGAATGGAAACCTTCAAGATCCATTGAACCCATTGGAGAAGGTTTCTTGTGACCAACATCTTCCATTGTCATCATTTCTGGACAATCCATCATGGACATCATCATCCAAGGGTCCATTTGTGGAGCAGAAGAAGATGAAAAGGTCGATGACAACATTGAATTAATACCACCGCCCATGAGACCAAGACCACCACCAAATTTTTTGTCGTCCATCATAAACCTTATGGATAAACAAAGAACACAATTTTAAAAACAAATTTTTCAATGAAATGTTTAATATCTATCCAACAAATTAACAAGAGAGACTCAAGTGAAGAAAGCAATTTGGTTAATTTTTATAATAACTATTATAACTCAAAAAAGAGTTATCCAGTTTGAGTTCAAATTAATTAGTGGAAATGAAAAATATTGAAACTTACGGAATAGGAATCGGTAAAATGATCAATTTTTTGGCTTTTGGGTTGAACATACGTTTCAGTTTGCTAAACATTCGCTTCTTCATTCCTTTAGATTGGTCAACATTGTTAATCAACACAAGAGTAAACACTATTAAGATGAAGTTGATGGTAAAAAGCCAGTTGAAACGATTGACTGTCATAGTTGGTTTGTTGAGATGAACTGAGGTAATGATCAATAAATTGTTCACTGGACTTTATTTAAATGAATATGATGGTAAAAAAACGCGAACGATAAACACTATTAGAATCAAGAAGGAAGAGAAACAATTTGGTAAAAACAAGTTGATTTGAAGAAGTGGAAAAATTTGACTTTTTTTAATATAATCCAACGTTGTTGATGGTGGTCAATCACAAACAAGACGGAAACATACAGTTGAATAAAAATTGAAAATATTGTTTTACAAATGCCTAAAAGACCAACAACTGACCAGATTAAGTTACTCCAGGTAAATGATTGATCTGATGAGTTAGCTGATCGTATTTAAACATTTCCAGTTTTATCTTTTTCTTCATAATCATGGCGAGTCTTAATCTACGGTTAACCTGAGCCTACAATTACAATGATAATAATATAAACAGGTAATGATATGGATTGGTGTAAAATAGGGTGAAATAATAATTGTTTAAATCAATGAATGTTGAGATGTAAAAGACTTCAAAAAAGGTACAGCTGATGATTATCGAGACAAATCAAATTTATATTTATACCATTTAAATGATTGCCTATCATCATTCAATACATTACTGGTTAAGTTGACCATTTAAGGTACAAAATTAGAGATTATCTTATTAAAATTTGACACAATTAGGGTTTTCTTTATGATATTTTAATAAGGTTTGAATGATGAAAAAGAAAGTGACTTTTTGCAGCAAAAAAAACAGTTCTGATTCATGATTTTCATCTTTTCATATTACAATGAACGATGAAAGACCGGGTTAAATTGATTTAATCAGCCAATACAAGATGAAAGGATAATATTGGAGAAAACAAATTTAGCTTAAATTGTTTGATTAAAAGTGAAATGATATGTAAGGTAACTTGCTTTATAACCGTATCATTGATGCTTCGTGATCAAGTTAATATTTCAAGCAAACCATATTAACGGTTCTAGTTAATTTGATGATGGGTTTGTTAAGTGATTTAATGATGAATACATGAATGACGATACAAAAGATGGTTAAGGGTTGAAATCATGAAGATGAAATGAAATGAAAGGATTAGATTGTTGCCGTTGTGTGTGTGTGATTGTGAGCTGTTAGTCAACTATTAATTGTATTAATAAAGTACATTCACTGATTATAGTGATCAATTGATAGGGAAGAGGATTAATCAATGAGATTTATTCATTCATTTAAATAGCAGTAAAGATAAAAATGAATCCATTTTTTGTGGAAAAATTTTAATACATTTTTACTGATTAATCAGCTTTCCATTGATGATAATTTTAAATATCCTCACAAGCTAATTACACTTCAACAATTGTCAACAAGTCAAGTGTTAATTAATTTCTGTATCAATTCATGTAGTCAGCTTTTCATTTGTTTCTGTATTACATTCAACCTCTTGATTGACTTAGCAAATTAGACTCAATCTTCACCTAATTGCAGTCGTTTATACCTAATAAATCGCTGATTGTGGCAATAAAATTAAAGATTGATTATTTTTTCTTGTGTTGTAACTGGAAATAATTCAATAACTTGCAAGTTGTTGGTGGTTATTAACAGGTGAAATGTTTGCTAAATCAATCGGTCGAATTGATTTTAGTGTAAATTATTTTGATAAATTGAGAGTGAAATTTACAATTTGAATGAAACTTAATCCAGTAAATTGATCATTACCAATCATAATAACTAAAAGATTGTGATATGATAATGGTATGCAATGAAGCCTGAAGATGGCGTAAAAATAAAGTTTAATATAAAGAGAGAGAGAAAAATTTCTCAACTTATTTGTTATTATTATTAATATTTGATTGACTCTTTGGTTAAAGAAACATTGAATTGTTGTGCTTTTCATTCATCCTGATTACTTCAATGACATAGAAAGATTAGCTGATTATCCATGTTTCATTGAAACAGTTTCAATATTTATCAGTGTTACTTTACAATAAATTTAATTACATCACACCAGACAATGCGATAAAATCTTTCTCACTTGAACGTTACCAGTGTTTGGTGTTTTTTTTAACTATAACATTATTAACTTATTTTATCCTTTTTCAATTAATTTGGACACTTCTGGAGGAGATCTGAGTCCGTCTATTGATCCAGCTCTAGGATATCCATGAGGTTTTATTGGTGTTCCCGGTGTACCTGGAACTCCATGGTGAGGTAGATTCTTTGGATGGCTGGAATCAATGCGACTATTAATTTCCCCTCTCATAAACCTTTCAAGTTTATCGACACAGGCTTCTTGATATTCATGGATCCATCTATTGAAATAGAGAAGAAAGTAGTTGTAAGAAAAAATAATTTAAATTTGTAATCCAAGTCAAGAGTCGTTTACAACAAAGTAAGTCTTTCTCTTCCTAGTCTTAATCTCACTCCAGAAACCTCTAGAATCGTATATTTGATTCACCAAAATTTGACTAATTCGTTCTGAAGGCAAGTTTGCTGACACAGAAACATTTTTAAACTACAATATTTATTGAAGCTGACATAATTATAGAATCTGTTTGGCTGCCAAGTTTCCCATTCTCTAAAATTCTTGCCTTCTTAAACAGTTTGACATATTCTGATTTGATCTTCTTGGTCTTCTGTTTCTCGCTACTTTCCTTTATCGCTTCTTTGCTTTTGTTGACTTTTAATTCTAATTTTCGTTTTCATCTATTCATTTACCTGACTAAAGCTGTTTAAATATTCTAGACACGATCATGGTAAAACCTAATCAATCGGATTCTTGCTCAAATCTCATCCATTTATCCTCAATGAATCTCTATTTCGATTGATCATTTCAACGGTGAAAATGTTAACTGTCTTGATTTGAGGACAAATTTTGTTGAAAGACGAAGCCAATTATCAACTGTGAGTGTAAAGCAGCTAACTCAAACAACCGAGTAATCGACAGTTACTCATCAACGATGTGAGGTTCAACTGATTTAATGACTTTACCTGACTCCATTGAAGTAACAGATAGCTCTTATATCTTCAGGTAAATTTTCCGGATCCGGCCATTGAAAGTTGTCCATAATTGGTATTATGTTGCACTTGCTTGCTAATGCCTCTTGTATTTCCTAAAAAAATGATTCATAATCAAAACATTGAGTCAACTGATTAATAATAGTTCACAATAATTATCCAATCAATTATTAATGATCAATTAATTATGACTTACCTTATGAACCCAATCTTTGCATTCATCATCATTCAAACAGCGATCCAAAGCATTGGGAGTTAAAACGAGGATAAAATTTTTGGCTTGTTTGATGCTATTCAACAAATTGCAATCAAATTTTCCAGCTTCAAGTCTTTCAATATCAATGAATACTGAAAAGTCTTTCAACTGTAGGTGAACCTTCAGTAAACTGTTCAGAAACAAATTAACATCAATTTTGTACCAATTACATTCCAATAGATGTTAATGGCATAGCAATTTAACCAAGCAGATGAAAATGTACGCATATCATTGAAGAGTTATTTATGAAAGTTGTTGGAAAAATAAAGAAAATAAAAAAGATAAATAAACATAATTAGTTAATTCTCCATTCCATTTATGGTTAATTAAAAAGCACAAACCTTGCAAGCTGGGAACCATTTGATCGTCGATAGCTTATAAATGCATCTAATGATTTTTTAGAATCATGTGAATCACATGTTCCAACATTGGACAAATCTGAAACAGAAAGATGTAAGTAAGAATCAATCATCAATTTATCGTTCAAAATATTGGACTTAATTGAACAAGAAATGCTTACTTTTTAAGGCCTCTGCAATTTTATATCGATGAATGGCATTTTCAATAAAACACTCTTTCAACAGCAAATCGTCGTTTAAAAATTTAACTGTTTCAATCTCGATTCCACCTTTAAGCATGTTGTAAGTATATTGAGGGTAAACTTGGCCCAAGGAGGAGAGAAGATGAAAAAGGTTAAGTGTATCACAAGAAGAGTAATCAGCAATCCTTTTAAGGTGACCCAATTCACGAATGAAACGTCTACGGAGAATGCCGTTCTCCATCTTTAAATCATATCGAAGCATATCTTCTGTTAACTGTAATAAAAGATCACCATCAACTCGACTATTTTTGAATGCCAACATCCATTCACCAAAGCCAATCTAAAAATAACAAATTGAAAGAAAGGTTGAAGTGGTAAGTAAATTGTTTCATTTTATTTTTGTGCCTTTCCTAAGTTGACTTAATTAGAGTCAAATTGTTAGGGTAAAATGTAACTGTGAATAGATTATTACTTGCTTAAGCCATTCAAGTACATCAGCAACTGTCCATAGAGGAACCTGTTGGGACAATTTATGAGGCACCGATTTACCCATGAATTTGAGAGCTTGACAGGCATATTTAGAGGCAGTTGCATTGGGTGAGCTTGCAACTCTCATTAATCTATCGATAACACCAATATCTTCAAAAATCTGTGAGTAAAAAACCAAAAATATATTAATGATTGTCATTTAATCAACAACATGAATTGAGATTAAATACTTTTGTCTCTCCCCGTCGTTTCTTGATCCATGCTTCCATGGCAAAATGAAAGGCTGCTAAACTGCGGGCCTCTTCTCGATCCGATTCCAAGACTAAAGCTAACCGTTTAAGCCACTCTTTTGATTGTCCCCTTGAATGACAATTAGAATGTGTGGCAAACTCTTCGGGACTTCGATCCGTAATGAAAGGTTCTATGAGTTCATGTGTTCCAGATGAAAGTACGGATGCTTCTATTTCTTTATTGGCAACCAACGTAGCGATGGCAAGGCACGCATAGTAGGCAATGTTATCATCTGTATGATGAGCTAATGGAAATAACCACATTGGAGCTTGTTCCTTAATCATGGATGCATGATTCTCAGGACCCCCATAAAGAGATAGATTAGCCAATGCAGAGGCACAATGTCTCAATGTTTCATCGTCAGTGTTTCTACATTGATAAACAATTGCTTTGAGGCCTCCTTTTCGTATAATATCTTTACAGGTTTCCTCAGAAATTTGTAACAATTGGTTCAATATTCCAGTTCCCACTCGCTCTTGATCAATAACATTTGTATTGGAGTATTGACATGCCAATGAGACAACTTTACTCAAACCATTGTCCACAACGTAGGCTCGATTGTCAGGGGAAAGTGTTTGCTCCAATAATTTGGCAGATTGAAATTTAACTTCAGAATCAATCTCATGAAGACCACAATTTTCAATGATTACATCTAATCCTCCACTAGTTCGCAGTAAATCAGACAATTGAAGAAACAATTTTTCTTGGGAAATTCTGTTAACCATAGCCTTTTCCATGGCTCGATTTAATGATTTTAACAATTCCACTGATTCTTCTTTGGCACAGTTTTTTAATGATTCAACTAATGATTTAAATTTTGAGGCAATACGCCCAATCAAATTGTTGAAAGCCATTGTTTCGGCTGTACTAGGCTCAGAGAATCGATCTGTACCTGAAGATGTTAAACTCAACATTGAAAAGTCCATGTCAAAAGGTGAGTTAAATGAAATTTCAGAGGGTGATAAAGGTTCAGTTATTATTGGTGATTCAGAAGAGATGGATCCATTGTCACCTCCAATACTTCCTCGAGCTCCAGTAATGGATGATTTTATTGTGGAAGAAGAGGATTTTGTTGCAAAGTAACGAGTTGATGAAGTTGATGATGAAGTTTTCGAGGTTTTCACATTCTTTTCTTCCGTTCGAATTGAACTTTGAGATTCAAAAGATGCTTTTGACTTACCCCCGGTTGATAGTTCTTCAGTTGACATTTTGAATGCTGATGATTTAGAAGATGATTGTTGAGAGGTAATTGATGAGTCTGTAAGTTTAATTGCACGAGCATCTTGACGGTAAGAGGACAATTTGGATGAAGCTTTGATCCCTTCGAGCGGTGACTCTAATTTAGCTGAAACATCTTTAGCAGCAATCCTTTCCTCGTATGACCTGTCAGTGGATTGTAAACGACGTGACTCTTGTAAATTAGCAATTTTCTTCTCGGCAACTAACCCACTCTCTGTTGACATGAATTTTGATTTTGCAGCAGATGATGAGGTAAGGTGTTTTTCAAATTTAACCGATGATTTATCACTTTCACTTGAGTTATTATTGAGATGCACACTCGGGCTATTGTTGTTGACACAATTATTGTAATGTAAATTGTTAGTTACTTCACCATCTGAGCTTGGTGAGGTGACTATTGGTTGACTGGGTTCACTTTGATCAGGAGAAGGACAAAAAAGTGTTAAACCTTGTTCTTTAGATACAGAGGATAGTCTGGAGTCAAGGGATTTATCTAATGAAATACTAAGGGAACTTTTAATACAGTTATTAGCTATTCTAGATGATATTTGTTTGGGTGAAGATGAACCTGTTTCAATTTGTCCAAGTTCTTGACTGGCATACCTTTGGATTTGTTTTGATGAGGATTTGTTTGATATTGATTGATGAGATCCGGTTGTTGATGTTGCAGATGATAATGCACTAGAGGTTGTTGATAATGTTTTACCTTGTTTAGAATTGATCACTTTTGATGAGTTAATCGAGTTATCCATATTGGTTTGTAATGTAGTTGAACTTGTACTTTTATTTTTACTCGTTGCTATTGGAGGCAGATTTTTCAATGCACCAGAACTGTTACCACCGATAGATAATGAAGATCGAGATTCACCCTTATCCAGGTTGGTTCCTACACAAGGAAACACCAGTCAGATAACAATGTTGATAAATGTAACAATGTTTAACACCAATAAAAAGATGATTAAATTTGGTAAAAGTGAAAAACACAAAACGAGAAATAATGCGAAATGACTAACACTTTATATTAAGATTTTGACTTGAACGACTTTCTGTGAAAAACTAAAATTAGTTGATAGCTTTTTAACTTGCAAGTTAGTTTACTGTTGAAAGAAAGGAAACACACACAGTTTATAGACAGACTTTTCTAGACAACGAACAACATGGTAAAAAACATCTTCATGTTTATAATTATAATGTAAAATAAGGGAAGAGAAAAATCATTGGAATAGATTAAGGAAGATTAAGCTTCAGGATCAGACGTAAACCATGTTTACTTAATGCACAATTGATTGTTTTATCGTCTGGTGAGACTTCTATTGTTTTTTTTACTTACTAATGTGAACATTATTTTATTACTAATGTGAATATTAATAAACACTCAACTATTAATAATATCAATCAAACTTTGCAACATCTATTGGTCATGACAAATTTATTTTGGGTTGATGATGATTATGTTAAACTTACCTTGATCTTCATCTTTAACTTTCTCGGTTGATAATTTGTTCTTGAACACTGAATTGAAAGCTTTCTTCATCTTGGGTTATAATAATTTGTACAACAAATGTATATAAAACAAACTGAATTTCAATCAAGCAACATTTTTTTTGTGTGTCAAAGGAGGATAAGGAAAGATGAGAATAGTGAAGATGTGGATGATGATGATAGTGATGATGAAAGTTGGCATTTATCTCTGTGAGTAATTTAACATTTTTTTAAAAATGCTGGTTCGCAAGCAATCGCTCGATGAGTTAATTTGAATCTAGAACAAGTTGAGTCAATTTTACTTTCAAGTCTACTTTGAGCAATACTTCGTAGGTTAGATTAATTGGCCTAACATTTTCATTTGTAAACTTGAAAGGCTTATCATTTTAAGTTACAATTTATTAATAACAGAGAGGCACAAGTAAACTCACAAGAATTGCAATTTTCAATTTATTACTGTAAATATGTGACTCTTTATAATTAGAGTAATTTGAGGTACGAGAACGATTTTCATCTTGATTATTATTGAGATGAGAGATTAATGCATCAATCATAACTCTAAGCTCATGGTAATAAAAGAATAAAAGAGATTCACAAGAAGAGCATCTTCAAAAATGTCGGTTATGAAGAACAGCATTGAGTCGATCACATCTTCGTTTGACATTAGACCTCATTCTTAGAGCTTTCAGGACCAAATAACTCTTATTTAATTCAAAATTTAGATTGAATGCCAAAATCGGTGACACACTCATTTCTAAGGGCAATTTGTGTTTCAACTTGCCTCCTTCAATATTTTCATCTTCAAATCAAATTCAATTGACTGATGAAAAATTTACAGTCAATAACGATTTTGTGTTTGATATTTGGTTTTATTGTTTCCACTGTGTATTCCCAACCTCTTGGTTCATCTGACAGTAATCCTGATACTCAAGATACTAAAGAAGCTTCTACTAGTGTTAACGATAAATCAAGTGATCAAGAAGGTTCATCGGAAAGTGATGAAGACGCTCCTACTCCAGTCGCAGGTCCACATCGTCCACCCACCATCAACTGGGGAAAATGCCCACAGCTAGAGCCTAAAGAAGCCGAGAAGAAACAAAAGGCTGATATTATAAGGACTTGTCTTAAATCGATAACTCTTCCAGAAAATATTACCCAAGAAAGTGTTGAAAAACACCGAACTGAAGTAGCTAAATGTGCTCTTAACGCTGAAAATTGGTTCGCTGAGGATGGAAGCTTGACATTTGAGTCTTGACCAGTGGTAATAATTCTGTTTGCGTCTAACCATATTATCCGGGTGATTTGACTTTGTGGATGAGCCTCTGGAATTATTAAAAAAACAAAAAAGAGTTATAAAATCAGTTAAACATGTTAGATCAATTATTAGATAATTTGAAAACATACTTTTGAGAGCGATGTGATTGTGAGGCTTGGAAACATCCCAAACAATCAAACCAGTGTCAAGTGATCCAGAAGCTAAATGGATAGAATCAGGTGACCAGGCCAAACAATTAACTCTTGCTGTATGGAAACCCCATTCAACATTGTGAGCAAGTTCGTAGTTTGGAGTCTTGTAAAGTACAACTTTTCTATTAGCATCAGCAACAGCCAGATATTGTCCATCAGGCGAGTAAACTACATCGGCGATACAATCACGGTGATCTAATTCAATTTTAGGTGTGATTGAATCACATCCTTCTGTATAAGTGTAAACATGGACTTTATGGTCTTTCTGGCCACCAACAGCTAGATGGTTTTCACTAGGATGGACTGAAACTGAGGTAGGTTCGAATGAAACAGGGAAATTTTGTTCAACCTTGTTTTGTTTCAAGTTAACTACTGTAATGCTTGAATAAGCAGCAATCACAGCTTTATCCTGGTTTTTGGCTAAAAATGATATTGATTTTGGCTGACAAGGCAGTTTGATGTGCACATCTTCTTTGAAACTTTGGTCATTAACGTCGATAGCTCGAACAGTGTCATCAAGACCGATTGTAATAATTTCACCAGTTCATATGTTAATCTATTTTCTCTTTTCCCTATCCTATTATTTACAGCCACAAATCGTTAACCAGCATTCAGAGTGTCGAAAGGAGGCTGAAGAACAATTTCCTTCTGGAATTGCCCAGATCCAATTATATCAGGCTTGCATGGATTACCATATCTCAATGATTTGTGGAATACAAATTGTTGGCACAGGATATTCACAATAAACTCACAGTTAATCGATGCTAATCGAAAGCAAGACTAATTGTAAATGAATTCAATAAGATCATATCAATTTTTTGCATTAATTATTATATTTTTATACATATTTGTCTGTACTTCTATCTCCATCATAATTACCAAGCAAAGGGGTATGTAAAGCAAAATCCCACGTCCGTTAAACTTTTTCAAATGATGATTTTCTGAAAGAGCTTGCTAAAAAACTAGGTTTAACGTGAAAATGGCATTGTGAGTATTGTGGTTAGGCCGTAATTAAGGGCAAAAGTTAAACCATTTTTGAGTCATATCTCACAAACGAAATATGATGGATGGCTGAAACTGAAGATATGTTATTCTCTGATATACAAACATACATATACAAAAGTTCGAGACTCTCACTAATTTTGTTGGCAAGTTATTTAGGTAGACCACTGTCCACTTTTTTGGTTTTTAAATCGACAGAGCAAACCCTTCAATCTTTTATGATATACAAACGTATCAAAAGATGAAGGCCGAAAAGTAATGCTGTCGTTATATCAGATTTCTACTAGTCAACATGAAGTGTTGAAAATAAACATCTCAAGATTACTTATTCGTTATTTGACAATAAAAAGTCAAAAATACATCAACATGAAGGTTCATTATTTCATTGGATAAGGAATGGATTAAGACGGTTATGGTAAATTCATATTATATTAATAATAAAACAACTCTCGACAACTTGCAGTTGGATCACTGAAAATTGAAGATTGACTCCATATCGTTATGAACGACAGTGAACCGAACTGCTTAAACTCTAAGCTTTCTGGAAGCTGGTTTATAAAAAGCTGTTAAAAATATTTGAAAATATCATCAAATAGTAAAAATGAAGTAAAATTAATTTAATATTTACAGAATAGATGTAAAAAATATCGATTTTACATAAATCTTTTGTAGTGGAAGTTTATCTTCACGGATGATTCGTCCAAATTTCGGTGAAGTTTAAGTTAGGCTGACATAATAAAGTAGTGAAATCACGTTGTAAAGTACATGTGGATATTTAGATAAAGCTCAAAAGATCAAAAGCTCGATGCAATCTGATTTGTGAGAACAGAATTAACTTTCCAATGCATTTCTAAATATTTAATTTTCCAATTGGTATCACAGACAGCTGGGTCCTTAATAAGACCGAACGAGCTCTGAAAAACTCCGTCCGGTTGATTATGTTTATAAATTACTCCATTGATACAAATTTTAACTAAACCATGACCATCCATGTCACAATTAAAATCTTTATACAAATTGGGTTCAAAACGATACTGAAAATGATTGACCGCCTGTCTAATTTTTTCTACAGTTTGAACATCTCCAATCACGGAGAGTGTTATATCTTGTCCATTTACAGTTGAAATTGTAATATTACTTATAGAATCAGACCAAAAGTGCTGTGGTCCAAAGACTGAGTCAGTGTTAACATTGTCAAGTAAGTTGTAAAACCATTTACCAAAGTTTAGTCCCATTGACATTAATGTTTCGGCAGTTAAACAGAAAGGTTGCAGAATGAGATCAGATGATTCAATTGAAGTATCCATTTCAGCCATTTCCCAATCGATTGCCTGTTAATAAAAACGAAATGATAGTCAATCAACTTTAATTTGTTTAAAAACTATAATCTAGAATACATACTTCAGTTGTAATCGAAGAGACTTGCCAATGGCTCATACAAATATGAATTAATTCTGTCTTATCGCATTTTGGTGAAACGTCAACATTTGATTCCTTTAAGTACTTGAATAATACTTCTTTAGTGATTTTTTTACGCTTGAGGATATCAAGAGAGTCTTTACAATACTTCAATAAAGCTTGAATGGCATCTGAAATGAAACACAGTAAATAGAAAGTTTATTAATTATCAACCGTAGGTCAAAAAAACAATCACTTACCTTCGATATTATTGACTTTAACGAGTCCATTTGTTAAAGTTGATACAAGAGGTATCAAATCGTATTGAGGAACAAATTTAAGGATTGCACGAATCCCTTGCTCCTCAGGTGATGATAGACTCATTTTGATTGTAATGAATTTTTAAAATGCTAGGAGTTTAATTAACAAAACTTGATCTATTATCAACCAGTGGGAAAAGGATAGAATGATTGTCTAGTGATAATGAGGGAACACTGTCAGCACTTTGGTTGAGAATCATAAATAATTTTATAACTTTCTTCATTTCACTAAAACTCGTTCAACGTTGACACTCTGGCAAATGATGGACTCACTTTCAAAAAAGATCACATTTGAGTCCAACATGCAAGATATTTAATGACCATAATCATTAAATTGTAAGTAACTTTACAAGTTGAATGTAAACATAAGTTTATTTTGAATTTTCTGTTTGTTGATAGTCGGTTATTCGGTTTCCTAAGCAATGGAGTTAGTAAATACTCGAACCGGTTACGATAAAAAATAATATTGTATTTTAAGTGGGAAATTCAAAAAGAAATGAATTGGAAATTTTTTGTTGATTGTTAGATGGCGTTAGGAAAATTGAAAAGTTGAAATTCATTCATTCACATTCAGTTTCAAATCTTGATGCTCTGAATTTTGTAAACAGCAAGTAACTGATTACTTGTAACCACGGTTCTGTTTAAACTAACCATTTGAGAGGTTACCAAAGCGTCTCTAGTAAACAAACGGCAAAGATTAGGAACTGTTATTCATTGAAAGCGGTTTATTCAAAATCAACAAGTACAGTAAACCTTTTAATTTACTGACAATTGTGAATAACTGTTGACTTATATTCAGAGAAATAATGGATACATGAATAAATTAAGCTTTTATCAATAACCAATCATGGAAAATAAGTATTTTTTACTGAAAGTGAATACTTGTCTGGTATTTAACTTAATTGGTGTCAATTTTTTTAAAAGCTTAAGAATTAAACGCAATGAATTTAGTGAGTGGTCCCTAAATTAAAGTTCGATCATATGTTTTAAAAGGTAGTCATTAAACTACCTAAATCAATTTGTTTTGGTTTATTTATTTGCATAATTTGTTAGAAAATAAGCTTATTTGTGATTACTGTATATTTTACATTCCCGGTGGATTGAATTCCAAAAGATTTCAATCATTTAACTCACGTAAAATGATTAATGAGGTTGTTCGGCGGACCAATGGTGAACAATACTCTCCTAAATCAAGTCCGAGAGGTAGTCGATCACCGTTGGTTAATAGCAGACAGGACACAACGGGTACTCTAAAAACGACCATTTCACTGGGTAAAACCCCTACAATTGTGCATAGTGGGCCTTTCTATTTGATGAAAGAGGTTGGAGGTAAGTAAGCTTCACTAAAGCTTCTAAAATCAAATAACAGTATTGTTATAATAATACTTTATCTCTATCTTTAATTTCAGGTGAAAGTGAATTAACTGGTGCAACAAATTTAATAAAACACTATAATCTTGAACATTCTTACAATAAATTTTGTTTGGGACGAAAAATTAAGGACCAATTAAGTGCATTTTTACCAAATTTACCCGGGAATATTGATGTTCCTGCTACTCCAAATGATAGGTAATATTATCAATGTTTGATTGTTTTTATTTGTGCCTCATTCAGTGCTGATTAAATCTTCCATATTCACAGTTTAAGGAGTCTCATGGAAAAACCGCCAATAGGAGGGAAAGAAATTCTACCTCTTGCTCAAAATCAATTATCTGGTTTTAGGCTTCATTCTGGCCCAGTAAGCTTTTTTTCTCGTCTTTTTTACTACATCTCCTTTATTCAATCTGATTTTTAACATATTCTTCTTTCTGTTATAGTTACCTGAACGATATAGACTTATGCACCAGCCAATTGTAAAAAAGAAGCATAAATCAAAGAAAAGTAAAAATAAATCAGAGGAAACCTCTAACCATGAGTCTCAAATTGAAGTAGCGGAAACTTCTGCCACTGGAGGACATGAAAAGAAGCATAAAAATAAAAGGAAACACGAAGACGATAAGGAAAGGAAAAAGAAAAAGAAGGACAAGAAAAAGAAGAAAGCAAAACACTCACCTGAATCTGTTAATACATGATTACCAACATTTAAAGTAAATTCTGTACAAAATGAATATGTCAGTTCATTCTTAATCAGCATAATCATCATATAAAGAGCAAAAAGACAAAACAAAATATACAAACACACAAAATCTAGCCTCATCTTTTCCCCTCTTGTTGCTTTCACTATGATCAAGGTAATTTCATTTGATATATAATAGTTATTTCCGATCATGTTTTCAACCTTTTGTTAATATATAAATATATATATATATTGTTTTTTGATAATTTTCATCATCATCGTTTTAATTGTTGATATTTACAATCAAAAAGATGTTGATGAAGAAGGTAAAGACGAAGAAGAAACGAAATCCAAAGTAACTCCCATAAAACCTTGAAATTACTGAATTATGTTTGCCAAGTGATTCAATGTCAATTGATTGAAGTAATAAATAACAATGGAGTGTAATAATAATAATAACAGTAAAATACCTAATCTTTAGTCTTGATTAAAAAAAATAGGTAACCATAAAACACATTGCTGAAGCAATTCAATCCAATTAACCAACATTTCTGTATAATATTGTCCTTGTCCAGTTAAATCCAAATTAAGGTATTGAATGACATTACCAGAGTAAAGAGTAACTGGTCCTATATGAGATTTACTTTTAGGTTGAATAATTTACCTCTAAAAATATAATTTAATGCCACAGTTGATAATCAATATTTTTTGATACACTTTAACTGAGCAACATTTATCCTGCGCTTTTCCAGTATTTTTTAATCAATTGTTATTTTTAGGTCACCAAAACCAACCATTAACTACTGTTGTCAAATATAAGTATTGTCCAATTTTTCCCAATCCTGGTTTCCTTTTTTTAGCAGCTACAGTGTAACCAATTTTGGGTTAGATCATAAAATGGGAAAATGAATTGTTGATTAAATTAATATAAAAACAAACTGGTTAAAATTAATATCACAGTCAAATCAATTTGAATCTAGTATTTAATCATCGTTGAATCTTTTCTAAGGATTTGTTAGATTACATTTTAAAAACAGTTACTATTAAAATAAAGAGCAATACAACTTACTTGAGACATTAATATTCATCAGCTTTACCAACCAATTTCCAAGGCTTTTTACTTTAAATGACGTTAGATAATTAGATTAATAGTATACATTTACATCTTGTCAAGTCAATAATGTTAATAGCTGATGAACTGTTCAGTAATTATACAATTTTTAATGAAAAACAATTTCCCATTGTGATAAGGTTTTCCTTAAATTCTGGTTTGTTTACATTTGCGAATCAACCAACCTCCAATTAATCGTAAGAACAGCAATTTCACCATTTTTCAATCAATAAAACAAATCTAATTTGTATTCAATTTAACTAAAACTGATTAAAAGTTACCTGAAAATAACTAAACATGATAAACACTGGAAAAGATATAACTGACAAATTCATGGGTAACCTTAAAAACATCAACGACATAATCAGGCTTTAACAACATCTCAACCAAACATGCAACCAATATATCATAAGATATTCATTTTATAATCATAATCAGTTATAATCACAATTGATCCTGTATTAATGCATGATGTGATAATGAAAAATCCAGAAACAAAACCTCATGATTTTCCTGTCGAGAGAGTCAACAATAGCAGAAGTAAAAACAAGACAAGAATCAATGTGAACATTGAAGCCTAACCAACACACAAACAACTTTACCTTGATCAATAATGGTAACCTTTAAAAAATAAGCCAAAATCCCAGTAACCTGGTCTAGTCAAAATAATCTAATCTATTTAATAAAAGGTAAAAACCATTGATATAACAAACAAAAAGAGTAATAAAAAGAGGAAAATAAATGATAAAAAAGTGTTGAAAACAAAATAAAAATAAAAGCAAATATCGCGAAATGTATGAAAAAATGAATGTCTCTGTGGATCCAAAAAAGGCATAAAATGCGTTTAGATGAAGATGAAGTGCAAGAAATGTTAACATTTGATTGTTGACATTAGTTGAACATTTGGTTGGTTAAAAAAGATATTACCAAATGTCGTACATTTGTGATCATTTTTACCATCTTTTACCCTGATCATCTTCATCGTCTCGAGCATCATATTCATCTTCCCAACGTTATTATTAGTCTTCATCTCATTACTCTTATTCAAGTTACTTTATCGATCCATTTCTTGGTCTTCTTTTTCCGTTCTTCCCTCAAATCCTCATCATTCTCATCCATCCTCTTCACCTCCTACGATCACTTTATCTTCATTTTCCTCTTCGTCCTTAGCAACTGTATGAGTACCAACAAAATTTTCTCGTAGATGTGATACTTTCTCTCCATCTTGACCTGAATCCCATTTTCGCCTTTCTATTTCACTCTCTTCTCTCTCCTCCTAATCATCCTTACCATCTACTCTCTCTCTCTTCCAGTCCAAACTACGTAGTTCGTAGTTAAGCTCCGCGAATCATCATCTTCGTCCTACTAAAATAATGCGCATGGTTTACATAGTAAATAATGGTTGAACAAGAAAACCTTTTCATCTTCTTCGTTGTCTTCCTTTCTCTCATCATTCTTACATTACTCTCTTCATCTTTCCCTCGTCATCTTCATTATCATCATCCTAACGATTCGTTTTGTCTATCAAAGGATAGAAAGAAAGAAAGAAAAGAAAGAAGAAAAGGCTTACATGAAAACAACATTTTTCATTGAAACCCATTCACTGTTACCATTTAGCTTTTCCTACTTTCCTCCCATCATCCTTATCCTCGTCCTTTACAAAACACACTTGTTTCCATTATTCCTTCACCTTCAACTCGATCATCCTTTGAAAAACATTTAATTTGTTTTTCAGTTTCATCCTGATATTTCATCTCGTCTCATCCATTGTCATCCTTTAACCCCAACACCAATCCAATAATTTTGATTAAATTTGGCAAAATAATAATTCAACAATTGAAACAAAACAAAAATATTAATAGATGTTGTTGTTGTTGTTGATATTTTGTGTGTAAATTTGGGCAAGGTTATGAGGCTATGTGAAATGAAAGCCAAAAAGCAAATCCTAATTACATATAAACACAGCAATCTAAAATTAGCTTAATTACTATCAGTAAACAATTTAACAACAACAATTTGATTTGAAGTGAAATTGAGAAAAAATTCATCTTCTTGGCTCAAAAAGCTCATTCCTGCAGCTCGGAGTAACTCAATAACAACATAACAAGTAGACTTACAAAATGGTTAAATATAGTTGAGGAATGTAGGTCAATCTATGGAACTCTGAAGGTGGTTCAGATGATAAACATGGTGAACAAAAAAGATGGAAGAAGATGAAATATTGAGTGTAACATGGCTGATGTACTCTCAATACACCAACGCAATAACCTTTGTCTTGTCAAAGTAAAATAAATGTAGACACAAATGTTGTAAATATTTTCATCGTTTATTTATTAATAAAAAAATGCTTTAATCATAATAATTGTAATAACTGGTATTAATTGTGATAATTGTGGGGTTGACTTTAACTTTGGTTTTACACCATTGATCATTTGTATCCACTTTAGTGTTGCAAACAGTTTTAATTTTCAACTTGTAATTGTATTAATGATATAGCTTTTTGGCTTCAACAATTGTACACATTTGAACAAAATGCAGTTTTAAAATGGGAATCAAAGGAGAGAACCATTTTTATAACAATTAAATCACTATTTAAATCAAAGTCTAGGGTTGGTAAATCTTTATCACAAATTGTTTTAAGTCTTTATTATTACGAGCAAAATCATTAACAATTATCATTGTTGTTACCATTATTGAAGCCTTAAAGATGGCTAATTGTTGTCCAAGAGTCCATACAGTTTTAATCACTTAACAGTTAACCCAAAAAAATTAACATTGCATTTGATATTAGCTGTAATTACTGTAAGAAGACAACAATTAGCTCTTTGGGTTTGATTGATCATTTGATTTGTTTTACACTAAAAATCTGATTTTCTGGTTTTTTGGGTTTTGAGTTTTTTTTGGTCATTTTTTTCAACTTTTGTTATAAAAAATCAATTTCTTGTTCAAATTTCAATCATTTTAACCATAAAATTCAATCATTTTGAAAACTTAATAATAATCATAATAAAGATATATATATAATAATTAAAGATGTTGCTTTTATACCGAAATAAAATTTTGCTTTTGTTTACATACAAATATATACTTTTTTGATTCAGATTTTTGTGTGTATTTAAAATCAAAATTAAATCAACTTTCATCCAATTAAACTGTTAATTACTGAGCTGGAAAAGGCTTTCATGAGAAACTAAAAAAAACTGTTCAAATAAATATATAAATAAATATATACTTATAAGAATTTGCGTTTCATTTTCATGGTTAATATTAATATTAATGAATCTCTCTGAACTTTGCAGGTTGCTTTTTTTCACACCATAATGTTGAGATATCAATAATAATAACAATAATAATAGTTGTACAAGTAATAATAATATATTAATAGTAATAATTATTATGATTTTGCAATGTGAGTGTGAATTGACTATGAATTTTGTGTGTTTTTGCGATTGGTTTATCATCATCATCTAAGGATAAGAGTGAAAAGAGGAAGATAGAGAGAGAGAGAAAGAGTAGAGATGAAGATGAGGATGTAGATGGAGATGAAATTAGATGAGCTTTTGCAATCATTTATCATTCTTGCTATAGATGAAAGCTAACTTTGCACTGGATTAGGAGTTACAGTTGGTTGGGTTAATCCTGGTTAAGCTTGTTTTGCTTTCAATTTAAACTGTCCTTTGCAATTAGTTTCACATTTTGTTTTTCATCTTCCGCCATCTTCAATCCAGTTCATCTCATGGTTGGTGTTGCTATTGATTGCGATGTTTCCTTGCTTTGGCTTGTGTGTCTTTTTCATCAAACTGGAACCATTTTAATCCGTCTTTTTTTTCCGTCAAATTATTTGTTTTGGTTTTTGGTTAAAGTCTCACTATTAAGTTATAAAAGGTTATACATTGTCTCAATGTTTTACATTTAAAAGGTTTTTCAGATGTTAACAGAGCTTGTAAGTTTCCAGAGAGAATGCAAAAAAGAGTTAACAATTAATGAATAATAATATTAAAGATAATTAATATAAAGAGAGATGAAATGAAAACATTAAGATTTTTGAAGAAAGATGCAAAAAAAGGTTTTTCTTTAAGAAAAGTGTCTGTATAATCTTCGGTAAAACGTGAAAAATTAAGTTATATTTTTTTAGCTTTTCATATATATGTGTGTGTGTGTCAGTAATATCAATTTAAAGTATCATAATTTATATTTATATTTGTATTTATATCGAGATGTTTATTAATGGTTAATTGTCTCAAGTTAAGTTAATCAAATTATAAATATAACCAAATGATTCTCTGGGATTTATCCAGTTTTTACATATTTAGACAGATAATATGTTAACATGTTGTTTTTTCAGACAAAATTGTTGGAAGATAGTAAAGTGTATTATGATAATAGTCAAGATGAACACCTTAAGAACTTTTTTCAGGTGAGAGAAAGAAGATGAAGAAAAATGATGAAAGGGGTAAAAAAGAGTAGAGATTGAGAGAGAGAGACTTGTAACTAAGAATCGTAACAAATATAAAGTTATTGTAATTATTTATAAATCAAGCCTTGGGAGTGACTTTTTTGTTGTTAGTCAAGTTCAGTTATGATGATATTTATAGTATGAAAAAAAAGATAGCGATTTTGGAGGGAGAAGAATGATGATGAAGATCTTGAGGTGCTGGTTTTGTTGGTATCTTTTTGCAGCTCAACTGCATTTGTGCCACAAAAGCTATTCACAAAACAAGGTTAATCTACCAGAGAATCATTTGTTGTCATCAAGTCTATTTATAAATTGTTACACATACATACATATAAATGTATATAAATATATACCAATAACTGTATATATATATGATTCGGCAGCAATTCACGTTTTTTAAGCGCTACTAATTATGATTTGATTTGTTAATAATAGTTAGTTGTCCATAAGAATAATCAAATATAAATATATATATATTGTATATATATTTATATGTATGCATGGTGTATGAGTGTATTACAATTATATAATGTTTCAATGTTTCAACCAGCAGTAAAGGAAACATAATTATGAGTGTAAAATATGAGAAGGGGAAAAAAATGTTTCAAATTATCAACAGTTTTTCATCTGGACAGATAAAGTATGAGATGGCTTAAACCTCCCTGTCAAATACAATATATAATGTAGTATATAATAATAATAGTAATAATTGTATTAATAGTAGTAATGATAACATGTACTTTTGTTTCATCTATGTTAGTGTAAAAAGAAAAGAAGAAGAAGAAGAAAGCATTTTGCGCTTTTTTCATCTTCAATTTTTCGCCAATTGTTCGTCGGCGAAATTTTAGGAAGGAGTTTTTTTTTTGTTAGTTTTTGTTTTCTTGTTGTCATATTATATATGTAAAAATCACACAAAATCAAGAAAAGAGATCTGATAAAATTAGATTTTTTTGTTACCTCTTCTTCTTGTTCATTCTCAGCAAGTTCATCACCATTATTATCATCAGTTGATGTAGTTATTTTTTTTGCTTTTGTCAGAAGAAAAAAAGTTTCAAAGATTATCTTTGACACTGAAGCGTTTTTGTTTGGAGTTTTGGGTTGAAGGGTTTGAGGGGCTTTTTGCGAAAAGAAGGCAAAGGAAAACTTGGAGTTTTTCAGGGTAACTTATTTCTTTGTGTTTGAATGAGGTAAAAAGGTTTTGTTTGTTTTTTTTGAAAAATTATTTTATAATTAAATATCGGTGCACACAATTAGCTTTCTTCACTGAGTGCGTTGTTTATCCTTTTTTTTAGTTTTTTTTATTTGTTCTTGATTTATTGACGTTTTAACTAAATAAATTGAACTCTCATTTGATTCTCAATCCTAATTAGCAACCAGTAGGTGTTGATATTGGTTAGGGTAAGAAACTCCATTCAATGAGAATGAAAAACTGTCAAATCCTTTGTTTGTGGATGTTGCTGGTGATGAAGAGTTCGAGGCGGATGCTGTTGGGACTGAGGATGCTGATGGCATTGAAGAGGAGGGAGAAGAAGAGGTTGATGATGAGGCTGAATTGGAGAGTGATGATGAAGGTGATGCTGAAGATGATAAGGGAACTGCAATAGTTGGAGAAGAAGCGGCTGGGCTGGGTGCTGAAGTAGCTGATAGAGAGATGGTTGAAGGAGGTGTAGAGGATGAAGGTGATGAAGAAGGAGAAACTGAATCTGTTACTGTTGACGAAAGTGAAACATTTGATCCTAATCCGCATGTTAGGTCAGTCTGTGAAGTTTGATGTCCATTATTCCCGTATAAACCAAGAATAGTATTGCTGGGATAGCATTGAGATGAGATCGATGAATTATCTCCATTTAGCATTGAATGGAGATTGTTATTGTTGTTGTTGCTATTGATGATGTTGATAAGGTTGTTTGAACTGGTTGAATTGTTTGCCACTGAAGTCATGATGTTGTTTGTATTACTTCCATTTGTTGGTGAATTGCTGTTGCTGGACAAATAAAGGTTAGATGATGGTGAACCTTTATCAAAGAGAGATGCAAATCGATTGAAAACATTATTATTGGAGGTGGTCGTTGAGTTGACTCCGTTGGACATGGAGGGCGATGAAGATTTAGGTATCAGGTTTGATGAGCCCAAAAGATTTGCCAACTGAGAGTCAATGTTGTGGGTGGAAGAAGATGATCCATAGAGTCCGTTTAAGCTGGAGGAGAGACCAGAGTTGGGTGATGATTGATGGTGAGAAGGATGATGCCTTGGACTAATTGATCCATGACCAACCAAACCACCATTACCATGATTACCAGAATAAAAGGATGAAAGTGATGGGGAAGGTGAGTGTGTAATTGGCGAGGTTGCTGAAGTACACACTGAATTATTTCCCATAAAGAGTAGATTAGAAACAGAATCAAGTGAACTTGCGTTTCCATTTATGTTACTTCCAATTGGAGACATTGATCGAGAGTTTTGCGGGGAAATGTTACCTGAAGATAATCCAGTGCCGTTTGGTGATCCATGAACATATGAAATGTTGGATGGACTGTGAACACCATTAACCAATCCAGCTGAAAGACCTCCTCTATCACTTCGATCATTTCCATTGGGTGAAACGGCACCAACTGCAGCAGCAGTGGCAGCTTGTTGTTGTTGAAGAGCTCGTTGCTTAATATAGTTGGAAAACTCGGTGGGTGACATTCGGTGTGACCTTTTAGTGTTTGATTTTAGTTTAGTTGAACCAAATTTAGTTTGAGCAAAGGTGGCTGTTGTAAAAGTGACATTCGATGAAGATGGCTTGGGCATGAAACCAGAAGGACCCATGGATCCAGTGGTAAATGATTTGTAGATTGGAGATGGAGTAACCGAGTTACTGGTGTTGATAAGATTATTACCTCCATTGGGTTGATTAGCAACATTTCCAGCAGAACCATTACCGTTAACAACGGCAGCAACCACAGCAGCAGCGGCAGCAGCAGCTGAAGGTGAGGAATTAGATCCATTGGTATTACCGTTGGGTGAACTTGGGAATCCATTGGGAATCACATGAAGGGAAGATGGTGAAGTTGAAGCAGGTCCTAAGGAAAGAGAGCCAAATGCCATGGCTGTTGTCTCGATGGGCTTGAAACACTGGGCTTCTGGATTAAAGGTTCGGATAACCTCTCGATCAGAATTTTCTAAATCATGGGGACGATCAGATTCAGAGTAGAGTATTTTAACGGGACCTTTCTCACTCATTCGATAGGAAACTTCACCAGGATCGATCCAGATGGACAATTCTTGAGGCAAATTTTCTTGGATATCAACAATATCCATTCCACTTTCACGAGCTGCAATCTCAAAAACAGGGTCCAATGGAGGAGTTGTCTTGACACATCGGAAGGCTGACCCTTTATAAGGTTTTTCAGGATACCAGTGACCCTCAAATTTAAGTTTAAGGGCATTTTCGAGTTCTTCACCAAATTGGTTGACTCGACGACGGGGAAGCTTATTATAAAGGAAGGAGATCAAAAAGTTGAGAGCTACTTGAATCTCGACGTGCATTTTCGTAGCTTGATAATGACTTAGTAAACTTTGTTAACGTTGATGCTCACTTGAACAGTTGTAATCGCTGTTTTGATGATTATGATTTAAATTTCACTCTTTTTTGAGATCGACTTTAAATGCTAACTAAAATTATATCAATATGTATATATTTATATAATATCTTCTAGTATTGAACTATTTTGAGGTGAAAAAGATAAATAAAATTTGCTTATATGTATAACTCTATAAAAAAGGTCAACCAAAATTGAGTTAAGGTTAAACACACACACAACAAAGCTTGTAAAAGGGTTCCGAGATGGTTAACAATTAACAATGTTGAGGAGAGGTAATAAGTGAGTTGAATTAACAATTAATAGTAACAGTATAATGATGATAAGAATAATAAGAATCAATAAAAAAAAACTGAATCGGGCAGTCAGGAAAGAGATGAGAGAAGTTGATTTTTTCAAATGTCTTTGAATTGCGTCTTTGATTCTGTAGTTTGTAACACACCAGGAATAACGAGAAAAGAGAAAAAAAGAAACGGGAAAAGAAAGTGTTGAATGAATAAATATTGAAATGAAACAGATAACTTAACAATAGTGTAAATGAAGCATAAAAATTTGGTTAATAAGATGTATTATACTGAGCAAATCTTAACATGATTATGACTATAAATAAAGTATAACATTTTCCCATTATAAGTGTCTATTTGATGATGTGGGTCAATGGGTAATATCAAACTGTAAATGCTAATTATTGCAAAGTAATAACCTCCTCGTTAGTATAACAAATTGGGAATAACATTTAACTGTAATCACTTTTTAGGTTGATTGATTTCAGAGTTTTTTGATATGAATCTAAATTTTTACAGTCTAATCATTACAATGATTTGCTTACATAAATATGGGATTTATCAGATGAGCGGTGGGATAAGGAAAATAAGAAATGATAATCAAAATGAAAGGGTTAACTAAAGTAGGTAATAACAAAAAGATGTGATCATCATCTTACCTAATTAATGTAGGAGATGGGCTGATAAGATTTGAACAACTCTTCCAAATGGGAAATGTGAAGATGCTTTTTCAAACGACGTTGAGAAGAAGTAAAAAGAAGAAAGAGAAATGAAGACGCACTGCAAGAAAGGAAATGGTGAAAAAAAGAGAGAAGAAAGGAAGAGTAAGATGATTGATTCAGCTCAGAGAGATTCAGAGAGAATTCTGGGAGACTCAGAGAGTGAAGAAAGGGAAAGAAAGATCGAGATACAGGGAAAGAGAAGAAAGAGAAAGAGAAACGTGAAGGTCAAACGATTTTTACTTTTATATTTCAAAGTTGGATTGTTTATGGAAACTAAATATAAAATGTAATCTGATGATACAAAAAATAAAAAGCGAAAAATTTGAAAATGTAACCAAATTAACCGCTTCGCTCACATTTGTTATCTGTTAAAATGGCAAATTTGTAAACAGTCTTACAAGTTACCGACTTTTTTTATTCTGGTTTTGATTGGCTAAAGATTGATTTGACCTTATTAGTTCATCATAGAGAATAGATACAAAGAAAAAAAAGAGACAGGGAAAGACAGAAAGTCTAGAGATAATGGGAAAAGAAGGAAATCGCAAAAGCAAATTTTCTTCCTCTCGTATTTCATTTCATTTACCGTGTTTGTTGCTTTCGTGTTGAGTTTATACAGCAAGCTGAATAATGAGAAGGTTAAAGGTGATTCCCAGAGTTGTTGGTAAAAATTAACAAACAAACAAACAGGTAATGTTAGATTAGAATCAACATGGACAATCACAAAAGGATTCCTTAAATTTGAACCAAAAAACTAATCCAACGTTTTGAGAGAGTTAGAGAGAGAGTGGGAGAAGCAGAAGAAACAAGGTAACACCGCTTTATTTTCGTGAAAGAATATGGTTTGATGGCGAAATATTACAGTTAATAATTTTTTTGGACTGTAAATTTATCTACCAAATGATCATTTAAATCTCACAACAATCCAATTTAGAAATAACAACAATTTACTTGAATAATTATCGTTTTGACACAAATAATAAAAAATAGATGAACATATTGATTTGAACACAGTAAAAGAGATAGAGAAAAGAGAAAGTGATGAAATGAGATTGATGAAATGAGAGATGATGAGGAAAGAAAATAAAAACTGATACAGATTATTATTAGTATGAGAAAGAGAAAGAGAAAAGAGACAGAGAGAATCGTTCTGTAGACTGTTATTTCCGTTGACAACCAGATGAGGCGTTAGTATCGTACGAGCATGTCTACATGGGGAACTGAGGAAAGCATGAAGATAGCATGAAGATATGAAGAGTAAGGAATAAAAATAGGGATAGAAAGAGAACTGAAATAACTGATTTAGGAAAAAATAGATGAGAAAAAGAGGGAAAGAGTAGGAAGGTGGGAAAATGGGGAAAGAGAGTGAAATATGGTTTGGAATCTCTCTGGTTTTTCTGAATATAACGTGCGCAGTTAGGTGAATCCAAACGAGAATCATGATGATGATGATGAAGGGGAGGAAGAGTGAAAAATTCAGGTCAAGATGGAAGAAAGAGTAAATTGAAAGAGAAGAAGAACTTACTTTCGTTAGCATTAACCCATGGTGGTTGTTTCCAAGCAGAAGCACCGAAACACTGAAACAAGACGAAAGTGAAGATGTTAAGCAAGAAAAATCGATTACAATTCAATCGATGAAGAGAGTGTTACAGTTGAATGATGATGATGGCGGAGTAGAACAAGAAGAAACATCAGAAGCACAAGAAGAAAGTGAAATAGAAGGTCAATTGAAAAAAAGAAAGGGACAAAATTATGGAAGAAAAGGATTTCAACTCATTTCTCATCTCTTTCTTTTTCACCTCTTAACTCATACAAATGCCTTATCTTCATTTCTCATCATCATTGTTTGCCTTATATTTTTTCAAGGAAAATTAGACCCAAGGTTAAAAATAAATATACTTTTCTCTTTCCATGTCTTATGGACTTTTATTTCCGTTAACCAGATCAATTTTTACAACTCTTTTCTTCTGGTTATTACCTTACCAGATTCACAACATTTATCATGAAAGAAATTAATTCATAGAGAATAATTAATTTCAATAAAGTGGCTTAATTAAGCTTTTTGTTTCTATTTTCTGGTATATCAACCTTTCCATTTTTTGGTTTTATTTGTTTCTTCCCATTCTAATCCCAAATCATTGATTGTTACCATTTTTTTTTTGTTTAATATCAAATTACATTTATAATCTATTATTAATCTGACTTTATTATTGATCTGATTGTTTGATTATTACTGGAATAGTGTAAGAAATCAATTAATTCAAGGTATATTCTTGTTATATCATGAAATAAATAGCTAGCAAAGTATCATTTGACGGAAAAATTAAGTGAAATATCAATCATTTCTGGATTGCTTTTGATAACAAATTGCTTTATGAAGACATTTCTAGTTACATCGGCTTTTAATTGTACAACGTAATCATTTAATAAGGAAAAACAAATGAAAATGATCAACTGATTATTAATAATTTAATAATGAATTTGATAAATTCAATTTAATAACCGGTTAAATTACATAATGTACAGTTGAAAGAAAGTCAATTTGTTGTGGTTGATCAATTTCATCCAATTGTTTTCAAATTGTACTTCAATTTAATGGCTCAATTATGTATATAAAACACAGTCAGCTAAATCAGGATACAATATATTAAATATTAAATCTAATAATTCAATTAACCAGCAACATTTAACCAGAAAAATCTCATTGGAAAAAAATGTGTTAACCCAAAAAAAAAATGTAAACCAGTAAATTGAATCATTTTGTTTACTCTGGTTAAAGCTGCGTTAATCTCAAGTCTTTGGCTTTTCAATTACCTTTACAATGAATAATTGAATTATAAACAGTCATTTAAATGAACAATTATCAAGTTAATTGTAATTACCATTCACACAAATCAACTGTTAATTGTAGTCCAATTGTTTTAAACATTTCAAATGGTATATAAAAAGTGAGCTTTTTGGGTTTTCAAATGTCAAGTCTTATTTTAAAAATAAACCAACAAAATTGTTAATCAATTGTGTGTTAATCAACTGAATTTATATTGTAGTCTTTCAATTGAATGTTCATGTTGTTGAATTATTGTTAAAAAATGTTCAATTGAAATGAAATGGCTCATTTTAACAATGGTAATGTTTATGTTAAGTCAATGAAGATCAGGTTAACAACTATATCTGATTCAAGATGAGATTGCGATTAAATCAGCATGTATTGGATCAAATTTATTGATGATCATCTGCTTTAATTGCAAACTTAATCAGATGTTAAGATTCTCAAAGCAATCTTCAATAACGATAATAAAGATTCACAGGGAAAAAACGGGTTTCCCTTCAACTAGATGCAAGGCTCAATTGAGATCAACACTTGCTTGTTGAAATTGTTTATGTTAGGATAATCATAGGATAACATTTTGTATACACTTGTAAATCCAATTAAATCATTTGATTTGGGAAATTAAGACATGAAAAAGTCAATGAATTATTGAAGTTGCAAGTTGAAATTGTTATTAACCCAATGTTTACTGAAGGCAAAACATGAAGTTTCATCTTCTTTCACCTTTACAGATATCTTTATCCCAAACGAATGAGCTCGGAGAGGAAATAAACAAATTAATTGAAGAGCACTGAGAATTGATAAATTATGTGTTCACATATTAAATGAAAATTAGTTGCTATTAATTTAATAAGACTGATCTTAATTATTGGAAAAATAAGAAAAAAATCTGATGATAAACTGCTGACATCTTCTGAGGGGAAATGCAATGAAGTGCAATTTCTTTACTGGAAATGGTTAACAGTAATACCATTTTATTATTCACAATTTTATTATTTTATTGTTCACAATTATCGCCTCATTTTAATTTATGTCTCGATTGTTTTGATGATAGAAATTTGTGATTAAATAAATTTGACATTTCTATCCTAAAATACCAGTGTCATTTGTCTGTAATTTGAGCTATTGTGGCTTATTTGTGTTGGTGTTTTATCTGTTATTACGGTTTATTGTTGTAATTCTTGTTTCATTTTTGATCCAACTATGAGAAATTTTATTATATTTAAAGTGTTAAATTACTTCTATTGTGTTTATTTGGGTTCAAGATTAACTAACAAAGTAAGTGTTTTGCTGGTTGCTGTTTAGGTTCTACATCTGTTATAATTATCATTTTTATCCATACGTTTTAAATGTTATATCAACAAGTAGGTGATACCTAAACTATTCAACTTCATCTGAGTTTACAAATAATCAGCTGTAAGTTGTTTCAATTTGCGTCATTGTATTGTCAATTAATTAAGGTTGAAATGTGAGTTCATCTTGGGTATTTTTTGTTGTAAATCATTTAAATTTTAGATCACTGTTTATTTCATTTAGTTTGTACCCATTCTTCAAGTTTTTGGATTAACTAATGAATTGCATATTTAATCAGACCAAATCATTATCGAGAGCTTTTGATTTTGATTGATAATCAACTCATAAACTTGTTGTTTCATCAAGTTAAATTTACTAGAAATGACTGCTGCTCGAGTTACTCTGAACTTCACTTTATAATGATTTATACATCATTGATTTATCAACAATATCTCATTAAAATGATCAGAAACCGGTGTAAAATATCGATAACAATTGATTATTCGTGTGTGGCTTTGTTAAACATTGGTAGTTACTCACCATGTTTAGAAAAATATGTTCATTCGGAAAATTGGAAACTAATTCCTAAAGTTGGCTTATTTGTTAAATTCAGTTTTATCATAAATCAACCTTTTTTTTATATCAAATTGTGTGTAAATGTTGATTAATCCTCTTGAATGTCAAATGGTTATCAATTGATTGGATAAGATGCTTATTCAGCTCCTGCATGTTGAAATTACAACTCGAGATAACAAAAGCACAATAAGCAATAAACAAACTCTCGGTAGTTAAACATGAATAAAAATAATGGATTATAATCGACAGCAAGATAATTAAAACGAGATTTTTTTCAATATAGGATCTTTAATCAGACGGTGTAAACAAATAGTTTTAGTCTAATAAGAGCATCAATTTATTCATTCACATACGATAAAAGACCAAAAAGGTTAAACTAATAAAGATTAATAAGAGGACAAAAAATATCCATGACAAATAGGTGGATGTTTCCAGTTTAGTATAGTAAGAAAGAGATAATATTTTATCCGAATTAAGCTTTCGTTAGATGCTTAGTAGAGTTCATAGTTTATTTTGAAATATTGATTCAAAGAAAGGAACGATTGTTCGCAAGGGACGAGCCGTCATTCCAGCGGTAAGATAACCCTTATCAGCACCATTCCACATAACTCCTGCAATATCAATGTGCATCCAATTTGGGCAACTAATAAATTCTTGTAGAAAAGCTGCTGCGATATTTGAACCTCCTTGTCGAGATTTTCCCATATTGTTAAGGTCAGCTAAATGGCAATCACTTATTTCTTTGGTATAATGCTTGAATAGCGGCATTCGCCAAACTCTGTCACCAGAATCAATACTAGTCTTGTGAATAAGATTCCAAAGTTTATCATTTGTTGACCAGACACCACTACATGCTGTTCCAAACGTAATCTTCATTGCCCCAGTCAATGTAGCAATATCGACTACTGCTTGAGGATTGAAAGTGTCAGCGTAAGTTAAAGCATCAGCTAATACCAAACGACCTTCAGCATCAGTATTGTCAATTTGAATGGTTTTACCATTCATAGCTCGGTGAACATCCCCTGGTTTTGTAGCTTCACCGTTTACTAAATTTTCACTAAGAGGTGTCAAACCAATAACGTTGACTTTAGCTTTGAGAGCAGCTAAAGTGATAATGGTACCTGCAACAATAGCAGCTCCAGTCATATCAGCTCTCATTTGGTCCATATCAGCTGATGGTTTAATTGAGATACCACCAGAGTCAAAGGTGATACCCTTACCAACGAAAACAAGAGGTTTGGTATCGGGAGCATTATTGTAATGTAGTTCTACGAACTTAGGAGGCTGAGAGGAACCTTGAGCAACACTTAAAAATGATCCCATTTTCATTGATTCAATCCAAGCTTTATCTCGGACATTTACCTTAACTGATGTTCCCTCAGTTGCTTTTACAACTTCTTCGGCGAAAATTGTTGGAGTCATCAGATTAGCAGGCATGTCAGCTAATCTTCGGGCTATAATCTGTCCGCGAGCAAGAAGTCGACCTCTTTCCCATGCAGCAGCAGTTTCTCCGTTAGGATTGAGTAGACTGAATGAAAGAGGCTTTCGGCGAGATTTTTCATCTTTAAGTTCATCAAATTTCCAATCAGATAGGAAGATACCCTCGGCTGCTGATTGGGCATCCCCACAATCATCAACTACGACTTCATTTATTGCTTCTGAATCAAGTCCGCGAATAGATTTGAGACCTTCAGCAACAGCCAACCGAGTGTTCTCTTTTTTCTCATCAAGTTGTTCAACAGGATTGATACCAGCATCTCCGGGTCCCAGGTTTACCAATGAAACGACAAGGTATTGATTTGATATGCCCTGGAATATGCGACTTTTACCTTTTTTAACTGGACCAAGACTGCCATAAATTGCAAAAAAATGCCAATTGTAGTATTAATGAATTTGACTCATGCATACAATAATTTTAAACAAGTGTAATAACAAATAATACATACGTTTCTATGCTTTTGAGAATATCCTTGCTAAAGTCAAGTGATTGACCATTTTTAGTTAATACCAATTTTGGTGAGTCACTAGAGGATGAACCTTCATAAGCTCCAACAATCAATGCTTTCATCTGAAATATAGAAAATGAAGTGAAAAATTTATGTAAACCACATGGAACCATGAAAGGTTGATGACCTTTAAGAAAAATCAAAACATTAACCTAAAAACACCTAAATCTAAATACAGAGCTTACCTTATTTATATACTAATAAATATTAAAATATGTAATAAACTACAGAATTTGAGCAACTACACTGTAAAATGTTAGAAAAATCTAAACAGGTAGAATAAAATTTTCAGAGATTTGTCTTTAAAGATGAAACAGAAAATAAGAAAAAGATTGAATGGATGAAAAGAAAATAGCAAACCCAGGTTAAATGGTATAAAGAATGGATAATAAGCTACGGGTGATTAAAATGAACTTGCAATAGCAAATATTTAAATCTAGCAAGGAGAATCAGAAGTTTACAAAAGAGATGATGAAAATATAAATTAAACTTACATTTGATGTTAATGTTGATCTTAAACGAGTCGAACTAGGATTGATTACACTTGCTACCAACAATGATTTAAATAACCTGTTGATAGAAATGAAAAGCGTTGATGAAGCCGTTTTGACAAATTAAATGAATCAATTAATTTGATTAAGATTAAATAGCCGGGAAAAGAGGTGTGATTGAAAGAAGATACAATGCGAGAATGAAACAGATAAGAGAAGACAGAGATAGACAAAGAAAGAAGAGTAAGATGATCTGAGAGATATAATTAGATAAACAGCCTGGATGTAAATAGATTCCAACGAAAACTGGTGAGTACTAAGCTCAACTTACTATGAAAAATTTACTCCTCAAAGATAATCACAACCTATAAGATCAATAATTAAGTAAATTAAACAGTAAAAATCTTAACTACTGTGATTATTAAATCCACAACAGGTAATGCTAAATCGCGACATCTTTTGCTTGAAAAAGAAAATGAGATGGAGACAGAAATAAAGAGACAAAGAAGATGAAGGTAACTAAGGATGTTGAGGGGTGAAAAAGACAGACAATGGATTCAGACGACTTACAATTGGAATGGTACTGTTTTGTTGATTGATGATTTTGATTTCCAATGATATGATTGCGAACATGATACATGTATAATAGATAAGGATAAAATTAGGAAAAATGATGAGAAATTTTTCATATTGAAAATCAGTTGAAACCAGTCAAAAAGCACTTATCAACAAGTTATTTTGCTTGACAAAGTGACCTTTCAAACTTACTTGCAATGGCCATTGATTGTCTCATTTCTATTCCTATCTGGACAAATAATCTGATTAACTTTTAAAGAGTTTAAATTTAAATGATTTAAATGTCCCCAAATTCGCTTATTTAACGATTTAGATGATTATTGTGAGTGCAATAGTACCAAGAAGCGATCTTTCGGTGCATTGTTACTTCTTTTGTTTTAGTCCTATTTGGCAGCTACATGTCAAAGTTACCATGAGACTATTAGATTAAATTGGGTTTAATTAGCTCTGAGTGTAGTTTATGAGTATTGGTAATACTATGTGGCAATGTTAGCAACTGTTGCTGTGTTGAACGTTGTACGGTTTTTGTACTCGTTGAAAAAAATGGTTAATTTCTGTAATTTCAACTCTTTACCATACTCAAGATTAATCTGATTTAGATTGAACAAATTGAGAGATTGAAATTGAATGCTATTCAATAATCAATTATCTTGTTTTTCAACTTTGATAAATTAAAAGTGACAAATGGATATTATCTGTTTTGATATTTCTTTCTTTGTTTAATAGACTGTAATGTTTTTACTGAGTAGAAATCATTAACATATTTGATATTAACCAAGGTTAATTGATGAGAAGTAAAATAACCGGTTAAGCAAGGTATATATGAATGATAATATTTGACCCAAACAAATCTCTTTATAAGAGATAGAGGGTGAAAAGAGGAAAAGGAAATTAATCTGATTTATCACCGCCAGATTTCAAAGCATCGGTGACTCCTTTGCGAACCTTATCAGCTATGGGTCCAGCCAAGCTACTCTTTACTTTGTCTAAATTATCACTTATGACATCTTTTCTTTTAAGATAATAGGGACGAATTATCTTTGAATAAAGAACATTGGAACCATTCTTTTCAATGGGAAGGAAACACCAGACAAGAAAAACAATCTTGGCCAACCAGTAGAAAGGGAACCACATGAAAATAGTGTCAGCAAAGAATTCAATCAAACTGAAGAAAGCGAACACAACCCAATAAGTTAACCATTTACGATCATCATCTGCATTAGCAGTTTCCAAGGCATTCAGGGACTGGTAAGCTGGATACAGAAAACCAACAGCATTGCATAGAAGAGCAGCAAAAGAACCAAATATCATGTACAAACCAAATATACTGACAATTCCATTGGCGATGTACTTCTTCTTAATATTGGTATTGGCCTCAATAATACCCAAAGCTTTGGTCAGCACATTTTCCTTCTCTAAAAAACTTTCCAAAGTGACATTGTAAGTGTTCAAAAGGTTGGCAAACATTTCGGTCATCTTGATTAAGATAGGTGTATATAAAAAAAATATGAAAAAACAGGCAGGAAATGCGATCAGTTAATAAAGAACAGTTTAACAGTATTTTATTTACAACGAATGAGCTCTTCAAGACAAAAAGGCAGTTTCTCTGAAATCTCAACCCCCTTACTAGTACGTTGTCAAGGATGCAAATTTACATAATCTGGTAAACAGAGTTGCCTATTTTCACATCAAGTTTTGATTCTGGTTACAATGATTCATAAAATATGAAATTATTGGCAGAAATAAATCGATTAATTTGTATTAAGAAGCATAATAATAGAGTTAGAAATATAAAAGAGATATTAACAAAACATATTCATGTAATCTGTTTGAAATTTATTAACACGAGCTATGAAGACTATTTATAAAGACTTTTTCCTATGAATAACCAATTGCTATTTCTACTTCTTTGAAAGAGCCTATTTGTCCGAAATATATTGTACGAATAGTCTCAAAGCCTATTCATACGAATGAGAGTTGTAACGCCATCTCTTGTGGAATTCAAACACTAAGCTAAAAAAGGCTAAATTTTCTGTCTCTGTACGAACAAATCAGTTCGATTTGCAGTTTGACCTTCCAGGTTCAGTACCCGTAAGAGCAAGAGTCCTGAAAGTTACTATTCGTTAGTAAAAATTGTTAGTTTACATCAAAAATCGAGCACTTTTTACAATTTGTGAACAGTTCTCTCAATTTTGGCCACTGGCCTAAAACTTTGAGCATCAATATCTCGAGAATGGTGTTCAATCTTTGATTTGTACCAACAAATTTTATCGACCAATAATAAATTTCAGTTCTCGCACTCCTACGATCTTAGAAAGCGGTCGGTTAGACTGAAATCGACTTGATCTGTTGTACAGAAACATAAAATGTTATCTCTCAAAATAAGTGCATTTTCAGGTTGTTTATTAAAAGTTTCATCAGTGAAATGAATTTCATGAAAAAACCTGCTGCCATAAATGAACAAAAGGCATTCGGAAATTCAAATTTGACCTCAAATTCCTGAGAGAACCAGAGAAAGCTTTAAATCGCATAAATTGACTCAGTTTTCATGTCCCTACAAACCAGTGAAACTAAATTTGAAGGAAATCAATTTTTACCCCTTTTCGCCCATTTGTGTAAATTTGTGCATAAAATATGATGATTATGTCACATTCATATTTAACAGTTCCAATTAAATTTTAGACAGAATGTCTAGACATAAAGGCACCATTTTTTCAGATAAATTTTTCTTTGATTCAAAGTATTTCCTTTTTATTTACTCAGATTAGAAGCGTACATTTTCCCTGGAAACTGAAGGGTTAGAGCCAACTGTACAGCTTAATCCCTTTAGCAAGTATTTCGGTTTAAGGCTGTAAAATGAATTCTTGAAAATGTTTGCAAAATATATTGAATGAATTGCTCTCTCTCTCTCTCTCTCTCTGTATTTATGCACATCTAATGTTCATTTGATGAAAATCTTATGCATTTCTTCTTTCTCCTGCATGGTTTGCACCAACTTGATTGATCTTCAAGACCAAAACGAGCTCGACACTTTTTCAAAGCTCCTTCGGCTCGAGATTTTTCTCTCTTTTTCTTCTTTTTATTGTTTGATGAATAATTGTCTTTGGCAGTCCAACACGGATAAAGTTCTCTATGAATATCCCTCGCTGACTTAGCTTTTTGATAATATTTCTGCTGCTCCTCTGGACTTAGATCATGCCACATTTTTCCTAAAATTTGGTTTATAGTCGCAGACTCTTTCTTAGCACTTTCAGCCGCAACTTGAGCACGGTTTTCTTGCATGAATAACATAAAAGCATTCAGAGGTTTTTTCACATGAAGCGATGACGATGAGGATGGCAGTTGATTGAATTTTGTTGTATTAGGTGGCGGTGTATGCACTTGAGAGTTTGGTGAAGGGATATGATGGGGAGATTGAAAAATTGGATGAAAATGGTGGGTCATTGAGGGTGGTAAGAAATGTCCAAAACGAAAATTATGCTGATAAATTCCGGTTGAAGATGAATTAAAATATGGAGGGAAAGGCGGTGGAAGTCCCATTGGATGCCATGGCGGTGGAATCATGTGAGCCGGTGGTGGAAGTAAATCTAATGTTGGCGAAGTATATGGATTCCCATGGTAAGGCACAAATTTAAAGTTTTCAAGCAGATTATTCTTTAATGATGAGTGTAAAGTTTCCGAGGCAAGTTTATCCTCTTCACCTTCTTCTTTAAATTCTTTAATTTCATCATTAGATGCAAGTTCATCAACGGACATATTGAGGAGAAACGAAAAAGACAAAAAAAACAAAAAACAAACAAATAGACTTGATGTTACTCGCGTTCAACTTGTGAATGTTTCAGGTACAGCCTCCAAACCAAAGAGTATAATAAGAGAGACCCAAAGAGGAGCTGAGCACAAGCTAAATATGAAATTTGAAGTCAATCGGTCAAACATGGGTCAACTATGTCTTCATTAAGTGAACCATCAAACGAAACAAAATGAAGAAAAAATTGAAGACCGAACAGCTAGTTGGAAAAAAATCCCATAGAAAATAATGTTAAATATCGAAACTTGAAAAATTTGACAAAGATCGCTTTCTTGAATTTTTTTCATGAAATAGAATGAACATAGCAACAAAAGCTAGTTATGGTATATTATTAGGACTTAATTAATGAAAATTAAAAAAAATAATTCTTCAACTAATCTGATTGTTGAATAATTAGCAAAACAATTTATGTGTCAATTTTTATTTGCACTAACCTTATGTCCCTACAAATCCACAAGTCTCAAATCTTGACCTGAATCAAGTTTTTGACACTATTTCATAGAGTTTAAACAGACGCGCCATACTCTTAAGGCAAATAAAAGTCTACTCCATATCAGAATCTTATAAGATATCTTTTTGCACCTTCTACTTTAAGAAAAAAACTCAGTTTTTAGGGGATAACTGTTTTGAAACCAAGTGTTGTTTAATAAAATTTTATTTTATCTGTAGACTTTCTGAGGTATTCAATCTTTAAATGAAATACTTAATGAAATAGAGGAAGACAATGACGAAGATCTTTCTGAATATGGTCCAAGTGATTTAGATGAATCTGACCAGAAAATCCTTTAGGACTAACATGTTTATGAGTCAATAACTGTTTTAAAAATTTGATTTTCTCAATATTAATTTATTCACACTAGATGTAAAAAGCTCCATTTTAATCAACTCGTTGTTCATTTAATGAAAATCTTATACATTTCTTTTTTCTTCTACACGGTTTGCACCAACTTGATTGATCGTCAAGACCAAAAGTCGCTCTACACTTTTTCAAAGCTCCTTCAGCTCGAGATTTTTCTCTCTTTTTCTTCTTCTTATTGTTTGCTGAATAATTATCTTTGGCAGTCCAACACGGATAAAGTTCTCGATGCACATCCCTTGCAGACCTAGCTTTTTCATAATATTTTTGTTGCTCTTCTGGAGTTAATGCATGCCACATTTTCCCTAAAATTTGGTTTATCGTTGCTGACTCTTTTTTAGCACTTTCAGCGGCCACTTCGGCACGGTTTTCTTTCATAAACAACATAAAAGCATTCAGAGGTTTTTTCACATGATGAAGCGATGACGATGATAAATTACTAGATGAGGATGAAAGTTGGTTGAATTGTGTTGTATCAGGTGGCGGTGGTGGTAGTGGTGGTGGTTGTGAGGTTGGTGAAGGTGTCGGTATATGATGATGGTGAGAAGATTGAAAAATTGGATGGAAATGGTGATGGTGGGTAATTGAGGGAGGTAAAAAATGTCCATAACGAAAATTATTTTGATAAATCCCGGTTGGAGATGGATGAAAGTATGGAGGGAAAGGCGGTGGAAGTCCCATTGGATGCCATGGCGGTGGAATCCTCATGGAAATATTCTTAGTTGATTGCAAGTCCATGGACAAATATCCACCCATGTGAGCCGGTGGTGGTGGATGGTGAAGTAAATCCAATGGAGGTGAAGTGTATGGCGAGGGATTCCCATGGTAAGGCACAAACTTAAACGATTCAATTAAATTATTCTTTAATGATGAGTGTAAAGTTTCCGAGGCAAGTTTATCCTCTTCACCTTCTTCTTTAAATTCCTTAATTTCATCGTTAGAAGCAAGTTCATCATTGGACATGATGAGGAGGAAGAAAACAACGCAAAAACAAATAGAGCCACAGAAATTAAACTTGTTACTGGCGTTCAACTTGTGAATGTTGAAAGTACAGCCCCCAAACGTCTAGAGAGATAGCGCATGTCTCAACAACACACTACACTTGAATGTATACAGTTTGATAAAATGGACTTGAAACTGAAGTTCCTCATCGGAATTTACGATTTCCAGTATGACCCGCGTCTCATATGTTCCTGTGGCACTGTGCCTGCCATTGCCGAACACATAATTCAATCATGTCCACTCTTCTCGGAATGAAAATACAGTTGCCTGGCAGATAATGAGAAGCACTGTAAATAGCTTATTTACACTATTTTCACTATCAATCTCAAGCAACAACACTAATGTTCATTACAATTTACAGTGAATCTAATCGCCAATTAAATACTCGAAATAAATTCAATACAAATAAATGATAGACGATTTGAAAATGAATTTAAATGTAAGTATAAAAATGAGAGAAAACAAAATGCAAAGATTCGAGTTAAACTCCGAGAGTCTAGAGATTGAACAATTGTCCAGCAAATTGATACAACAGTTTCTGGTTTAATGAAACAACATTGTACTCTTCACTAACTTTAATCCGACGCGTTAATCCAATGCATTAAGTAACAATTGCTATTAATCCATGAATTGAATGGTAACACTAGTAATAACATTATTTCAATGACAATTGATTTACAATTTACATTCTTGATGAAAGTAGTGATACAATTGTAAGAGATGCACTGTTAATGAAAGATGAATTGAGGATAAAATTTGCACAAATGCAATATTGATACATTATAAAAGTTCATGCAAGTGGAAAGTGATTCGATGGGAAAAAAAGATGATGATCATGAGGGTGATGAAGATTGGATAACGGATGTTGAAGCAATTTCAAGATAATCACGAAAGATGTTGGATTAAAGGTTAATGGTGTTCATCTAAAGAGTAGGAGTCTCTAGAGTGCCATCAAAATAAGATGAAGATAAAAATGCATTTTCATCCTTTTCATCCCAATCTATAGGATGTTGAAGCATAAAGAGCATGAAAAAGTGAAATATAGTTTGAGCTTTTTGGTTGCTTCTCTGGTATAGGATTTTCAATGTTAACTGTAACTGTTCAATTGTGACTAAGGACGTGAAAAGGTGGAGCTTGGATCAAAAGATGAGCAAGGAAAAAGATGAACTTGCATCAAAATTTATGACTGAATCAATCTGTGAACAGCTCAATAAACTTATATTTTGATTAAAAGTTGTCGATCGATTTGTTGTTTGCTGAGCGCTGTTTGTTTATGGCCTTGTTGAAGGCGCTTCTTTTGCAGTTGACCACAAATGCGATTATTTGCTGTTGAAATGATAATTGAAGTTGATAAAGTTGCGCTTCCATTACAGCTAATCATTAGACACCATTAGATGTGCATAAATACAGAGACAGCAATTTATTTAATACTTTTTGCAAACATTTTCAAGAATCCATTTTACAGCCTTAAACCGAAATGGTTGCTTTAGAGGGAAAACTTGAACTTATCTTAATCTTTGCATCTTTTACGATTATACACTTGCCAATAAAGGGATTAAGGCTGTACAGTTGATTCTAACCCTTTGCCACACTCTTCAGTTTCCAGGGAAAATATGCGCTTCTAATCTGAGTAAATAAAAAGGCAAAAACTTTGAAACAAAGAAAAAAATTTACGACTTGACGAACCTTGCTTAAAATATCAAATATTTTGACTTTTCGTTGAAAGGCTCAGAAAGATTAAGATATCGAGTTATTTTTATTAACTTTAACCTTTAACCATTAACATAAGTCGCCTTTCAACATCAATAATTGATGATTAAAAATGATTACAATTTCAATGTTTCAAATAATTGTTGATAACAGCAAATGATTTGATTTTGACAAACATTTCACATTCAACTACATTGAAAGGAAAGCTTTAAAACATTTCAAGTTAATTCACTCGGTAAAGCTGGTAAAGTGTTTCAAGTTGCATTTGATGGCAATAAAAAGTTGTCTTGTTATGGTCAAATGTATGGTTAAGAGACACTCTTTGTGCCCATAATGATGATGATGGTGAGGACAATGGCGAGGACAGTGATGAGTAAAATGATGGTCACAAAATGACCAAAATTGGAGCCACAAAAGGGCAAAAAAACGTTTGTTAGAAGAAGGAAAAAAGTAAGGTGGAAAAAAGGTACAAAAATTGGGTTAAATTGGTTATTGGTAAAGACATAATAATGTTGTCTTGTCAAAGGAAAGGATTTAATGGTTGGAAAAGATGATTCTGATGAAAACCTTAAGTTTCAATCATCATCTTTCTCTTCATCTTTCGATCATCTTTTTCGCATATTTTGACGATCAAACAGTCAGACTAACCAGATTTACAGTAAAGGTAAAAGTGATGACAAGCAATGAAAATGTTATCATCCAAAATGAAACCTCACAAAAAGGTAATCCAATTTCATGTCGATCAATATCAAAAGTCATCATTATCATTGAAAGATGGTTCTTGGTAAAAGCAAAAGGTTAACCAAATGTAAAGTGAGTTACAGTAAAGTTGGCCAAATATTTTGTTTAATTATCATTATCAATGGATAATAATAATCATCTAATTGAAAGTAAGTCTTAACCAGCAAGTTTGATGAAAGTGTTTAAAGTTAAGAGTAAAATTGAAAACCCAAAAAACCAGAAAAATATTTACATTTGTTTTCATTTTGTATTTTGTTTTCCAAAAGGTTTAAAGATTTGTGATTCTCAGGTTAATGGTGATCATGGTGAGGTTAATGATTCACTTGGGATGTTTAAGTGTTCACCTTTGGATAAAAGTAAAGTTAACCAATTGAACGTTAATCATGTTAAAGAATCAATTAAACCGTCTTTTACTAATTGTTGCCAGTGTTTTCATAATTATCACGTTAATCTAACCTATGAACCTTCTCAGGAGTTTGAAGGTTCAACCAGGAATGAAGGTAAACCTTCATTAAGATGTTCATCACCTCTATCATATTCATTATCCTCATGTTCATCTTCAACCTCATCATCATCATTATCATCGAAAACAATCAATTCACTTGCAAGAGGAACACCATTTTCACCAAATGATTGTACAATCATGAGACCATTAAATCATTCAACTGACCATTGGTTACCAGTAAGCTCACTCTCACCATTAGGAACCTTGTTAAATTGTCCTGGTTCATTAGTCAGCCCATCTAATAATGGGAATAATGAATTGAAATTTGAAAATGAAATTGAAGCTCATCAAGATAATGGTATTGATTGTGCCCATCATAATGATCAACAATCAAAGGGTAATTTACTTGAAAAGGATAATTCAACCGAAAATTGGAATAAACCGAAACAACGTCGATTCCGAACCACTTTTACATCCCATCAACAGCAACAATTGGAAAGAGCATTTCGTTCAACTCAATATCCGGACATTCAAACTCGAGAAGATATTGCAAGTCAAATAAATCTAACTGAAGCACGAGTTCAGGTAAATCACAAAAATCACTCACATTTAACCTGAAAAACGCTTTTCTCTTCCCTTTTCTTCTCATTCCACTCTTTTCACCTTTTACCATCTTTTGTTGTTCTTGTTCTTGTTGTTATTCTGGGCTCAAAAAAATACATATACAACTAAATATAATCCTCTAAGGTATTCATATCAGAGTTGGCGATCTTTTTCTCTACCTTTTCGCACACCAAACCTTTTTACTTGTTAAGGTAACAAGACTGGACTCTTTTTTTTTACCTTTTCACTTCTCCTTCTACTTTGGCCTTTCCTTGGCCAAAACTTGAAGGTCAACTTATCAACTCTCTAAATTAGTCTACTCTTAACTTGACTCACTACATATCTATATATTATTGGCCTGCTCCGGAATACATGTAAAGGTAAACTAGGTTGTGGAGAGATCACGCTGACTACTCCATTAGACTTGCTGTTATTCCCTTTTTTTGTGTTGCTTCTTACTTCGTAAGTCGACATTTTTAGCCTCAACTTTTCTTCTCTCTCTCTCAACTAAATAAGGGGAGTTTCACTTTTCTCACCAACTCACATCTAGGTAATCATCATCTTCACCATCTTCATCATTATCATTATCAACATCAACATCGTTACGAATCATGATGATGATAAGAGCCACTCTTGGTTAACAATCTCAACTCTCACTCATCTCATCAGCTTCAACCCTCAACACTAGCACAGGCTCAACCTGTAAATGCTTCACTACTAGGTTAGGTTGAGAGAGGTTGCCATTGGGTGAACAACAAAAAAAACACAATTTATCAAAACACTTAAAGTATCAAATTTGTAAACTTTAAATTAGATGATGATGATGATGATGATAATCTACATCTTTCCCCATCTTGGCTCACTTTTTCACCTTTTTTTCTTCATCATCACCATCATCCAGCCTCTCTCATCAATAACCTAGGTGTGTTGAGTCACACAGACAAGGTACACACATACAGTTGACCCAGCTTTTATAGCCATTTTTTCCCTTCTCATTCTATCATCATCACCATCTTCATCAACCAACATCATCCCCATAATCATCTTGATCATCATTTTTCATGATAACTTGTTTTTGCTTATTTCCAATGTCAATATCCTTCTCAAGGTTCTTCCTCTTTTCACTTTTTTACTCACCTTTTTTTTCCTCATTTTTTCTCATCTTCATCATCCTCAAACCCATCATTTTTGTTGTGGTTAATCATTTATCAACTGTCTCATTACACTCATCATCATCTTAATTGTCCATTTAATTCAATTTTAAGACAAACAACAGCAAACCAAACTTTCCAATATCAAATCGCAAAGGAAACTTGTGATAACTTTCAGCTTTTATTTCTAATAGCTATTGAGTCTAATAATAATCTTGATAACAAAGTAACAATATACTGCAATTTGCTTACTCTAATGATAAGACAATCAAAATGTGAGTTTAATCTTTTTTTCATGTTTAAATAATAGTCTATTAGTCTATCGATCCATGTAAACTTAATCAATGAAAACTGTTCCTAAACCAATTGATGCTCCATTGACCGCAAACTCCTTGGACAGGTCAAAGTGACTTAGTTTGTTATCCTCAAACAGAACTGATTCAATTGACAAAAGTAAATTTTGTTCACTTTTTTTTCCTCTCGCATGGCCTCGCCATAATAATGATTGATAACAATATTAAAGTGTTGTTAGAGTTTCAATCTGAATGGTAACAACACACAAAAATGATGAGAAAACGTGTGACAAGTGAATGAAGGCGAAGAAGAAGCAAGAAGGAAAAAAAAGTTTACTATCATCATTAACTATTATTATTTTACTATTACAATTTTTTCTCCTCTCATCATCATCATCTTCTTGTTGTCATCTTCAATTGATAACACCAAGCCCTCACCAATATAATAACAACATAAGCAAACAAAGCTCCTAATCACACAGGTAATTGCTGTAATAATGGTTTATAGAAAGCAAAGTACACTTGATCATCCATCTCATCTTCAATCATCATCATTATCATCCTGAATCAGAGCAAAGGAATCACATAAAGTGTCCAACTTGAGCACTTGAGAAATGCTAATAAAGATCCAGAATCGAAATGCTTGAAACGTTCCAAAAAATTGGTTCAAAATTCTCGTGAAAACTCGAAAAGCTAAAAACTTCTAGAAGCTCAAATTTAAACTTGCGTTCAATTTTGAGCTGAAATTGTTCAATTGCTTCATGAAATTATAGCTTTCAATGAGGCAATGATTCAACTGCAATAAATGTAATTGCAATAAATTTTGATGCTTTTCATCTTCACTTGAACCTTAAATTGTTCAACTTTGTTTGCTTTTCACCATTTTTTTTACCGTTTTGCTAAACACATTAATGACTTATACGTTTGTACATAACCTAATCTCAACCACTTGAGTTAATTAATTAAATCCACCGACCTCTTAAGGTTAACAATCAATCAAATGGTAACCGCAATCATCGAAAGCAATGATAAAAAAAAAGAAAACAAAATTCCAAAACTTTTCACTTTTCACTTTTCAATCTCAATTTGCTTCTCAAAGGGTAAACAAAGTAAAAATTGAATTAAATCAACGATTAAATCTGTAGATAAATTTAGCAGTAATTAACAGTTGCAATCAATTTCAATCATTTCCTGATGATTAGACTTTTGCCAATCAGTTTAGCTTTTGATTGTTTCAATTTGTTTTGACTTTTCTTACTTCAATCAAAACATTTCTTAATTGCCTTTCCATCATCGCACAAGCATTTTATGGTTGTTAACAACAATGAGAAAAGGGTTGATCTTTGGGTTTGTATCAAATGATAATTGTGATAATATAAATAGTAACCAAAGAAACCCGCAATTAGACAATTGAAATGAATGCTTTTTTTACTCCACTTTTAATCATTGGACAATCTTTATTACAATTGGTTAATTCACATAAACGAATTAACAGTTACAATTAAAGTTATAACTTTTTTCAAGTTGCTCTTGGTTACTGGTTACTGGTGTTGTTATCAAAAACCATTTTTCTGATTAACTTCTAATTCTTATTGAATCTTTTGAGTAAACAATTAAATGTCATCGATAACTCACTTGATCACTCACCATCATCATCATTTATCATCTTTTTGTGTGTCAAGACAAAACTCTTCAATTGTCAGATCTTTCAAATCAAACACTTGAAAATGGTTCAACAAATGTCAAGTTACTTGCAATGTTTTCATTTTCAGGTTTACAAAAAAAAGTCAACGAAATGCATTTAAATTTATTGATATTTTTTTTCGTTTCGTTTTCTCCAACTTTTCATGTTAACAATTGTGTTTAACATGATGATAATGGTGAAAGATATAATTTGTTTGTGATTAATGAAGATGATGAAGATGAGAGAAGGAAGAAGAAGAAGAAAAACAAATTATCTTTTCTCTGCCTTTTCCAGATTATTGTTGAATCACTTGAGTTGCGGTTATGCATTTATGTTCATGTTGATGATCATGTTATTGATGAGCCTTGATTTAAACAATTTTACACTTTCATCAATTGCTTAATTGCTTGCATTTCTTCATCAAAAGGCAGAGGGTTAAAGGGTGATGAAGATGAGGTGAGTCAAGGTGAAAGCAAGAGGAGGAGGTAAAACAAGGAGGAGGTGAGAGATGATGGTTGAGTTGATTGTTATGCTTGGTTTCAATGAATCGCGTTTTGTGGTTTGTTTTACAAGCTTTTTTTTCCTTTCACTGTTGCCCCAACAAAATGAACAATAATGAATGTAAACAACATTAAACTATTATCATTTCAACTATGATCATCAACAATTTGACAATTTTGCTTCCTTTTTTTTACCATGAAACCAAAGGAGGAGGAAGAAGATTATGGTGAAGAGGAAGATGAAACAGCCAATTTGTGGCTTAAAGAGACTTTTTTGCCTTCTTTTCTTACTTTTGTTGTCATTATGAAATGAAGAAAAGCAAGATTATGATGAGGATGAGAATGATGATGAAAATGTTGTTCATCCGTTGAACAAAAGCGCCTTTTTTTGGGTAAAATGTATGAACATTACTGGCAACCACTCAACCTCGATATCTTTTGCCTTCTCATCTTTTTATCACATCTTGTTGCTGCAATTTTGGCGATGATGATGATGAGAAATGTGAGTGTTTTAAGAAACAATGTAGAGCAATGGCTTGATGACCGGAAACATGGTGCTGATGAATTCCGGAAGTTAATTGAGATTTTGTTTCTTCTTCTTCTCTTCTCTTTCTCTTGTCAGTGAAAGGCAAACAAAAGTGGGTGAGTTTGAAATGTTGTCTTTCTTTTTCCACTTCACCAAAGGTAATAACAATTTTCCCTTATTCTCTCTGTATTTAGCTGGTTCTGTAATAGGATAAAGCGTGTTAAGATGCTTGCTAATCTTGCTCACTTCGTTTGCTTTTCATTTTTCACTCAAAAATTATTAACACATAAGAAGAGCCAGAGAAGAGCAAGAAAAGATGCAGTTTTTTTGCTTCTCTGGGTTCACTCCATTTCCCATTTCTAATCATCTTCATGACCTCTTGAGGCTTTTTTGACACAGTAAAACCTATTACTGATAACATGATAACACACATAATTAGCTGTACAAGTAATTTCATTTTTGCATATCATTTATCTCATAGTAATAGCTTTAAACGTAATTATATTCAGATTGTTCAGACTTACATTTGGAATCAATTTTAGCAACAATTTTCGTCTTTTTCTTGTTCAAGCTTTTCAAACAATTTTCAACAACTTTTGTTGGTTTAAGCGAATGGAGAAGCTCTTGATTTTTTGGATTTTTACTTCTTACCTTTTCAAAAACTTTAGCTTCAAGAAATGAAGTTTCATCAAAATCTAATAGTTTAATGAGTTATTATTTACAAATTTCATTAGACTGAAAAATTTCAAATATTCTAATTATCCATTTCCTGAATAGCTGGTTGGTCTGCAAGTTCAATACTGATGATCATCAAGTGTTTTCTGACCTAATATACCTTTACTCATGGCATGCTCAACAAGTTTGAAATGTTGATCTTTCAGTTGAAAAAGAGTAAAGTATAGGATTGGAAATTCCTCAAGAAAAATCATTCTATTGGAAATTTTCATGGAAAGTTACCTTTGAGAGGATTCAGGGTCAAATAGATAAAACTTGTTTGGATAAACTCTTTGGAGCCAAAGTCGATCTGATGCTCGATTCCTCGCTGATCGAATCTGATTTCATGATGGAATTATTCACCATATCGTCTTTTATGAATGGAAAATTGATTTTCTCTTCAAAATGAATCAATTTTATTTTGAATAATGAAACATCAAGAATTGCTTTGCGAGCGAATGAAAGCTAATTGATTTAAATTGCAGCTTATTATCAGCCTAAAGGCCTTTACCTGGTTTACCTGGACTTAGTTATTTTGACCATTTACCTTTGGAAAAGGATTAAGTCGCATTTGAGAAGAGCTTTGGTCTTAAGCTTTTTTAAAATCTTCTTAAATTCAACGATTAGAGCGATTCGATGCAAATATTTGCCCTAATCAGGTTGATTTATGGTTTATTTTGTTTGTTCATTTGATGAATTTTCTTAAATTTATTGCATGGATCAAGTTGAATCTGTTTGTTTCAAGAATTAAAATTTTGCAAATGATCTCTGTGGTTAAGGATCAAGACTCATCCACTGAGGTATTGGTGACCACAAGCCAAGTCAAACCGCACTTATTTATTGTGATACTTTTAACAAATTAAAGCACTCATTATCACTCCACTAGGCGATGAGCAATGTGCAAATGCGCCAAGTAAAACTACCGCCGTTTAACTCAATAAACATTGCCAATCATCTGTGTTGATGCCGACGCCTTTAGTCAAGGCCAATTAGATGTCACAATATAACCTGATAGCGATACTTCATAATTTATTAGGTTAAATTAAACAAAATTAAAAAAAAATTCTAATCTATTTCATAGAAAGTGTATTTTCCGTGCAAAAGCAACAAAATGATTTCTTGGAAATGAATCTTCACTTGATTCGAGTGCACTCAACATCCTTAAAGACAACTGTTTTTAGCATTAAAACATTTGCAAGCAAAGATGAAAATTGATAAACAAAATTGTTCATTTCATCATAAATTCATGCATTCGTCCACTTATCTTGAGGTTCATCAAAAATTGTGACTGTTCACTTTGGCCTTTCAGGATGAGACTGAAGTGAACAGTAGCCAGGGTGACAAGAATGATGATGATGAGAAAAAGATACTTTAATGTTATTATTTCGTGAGAAGAAGATTTGTGTTCATTTTTGGCAACATTGATAAAGGTTCAAGTGAAAATGATCATGAAAAAAAAGGAAAAGACGTAACATGACTGATAACATTGATAATTGTAGTTAACATAGTTAATTGTAAAATTGATGATTTGTAGGTGATGCGGGTTTGCAAGATGGGTTCACATCATCATCTTGTTAGTGGCAAAGACGAGCAAAAGATGATGGCATTTGTGAGGCCATTTAATTGCCGACTCTAATATTTAAATTGATACAATCCATCAAAGGCCTCTCAATCATTCACCTTATTACCAGTGATTGATTAATTAAGGCTGACCAAGAAAGGCAAAAGATGATCAAGTGAACAGACCTGCAAAGGTAACAAGAAAAGGTGAAAGAAGGAAAAGTCAAAAACAAAAAATGAAATTCACCTTTAACGGGATGATAAACGATTAGATGATAAATGTTATTGTTGAAACATTTTCATCGTTTGTCCAACTTTCCATATTAATTATTACAAGATTAATCTTAATGATGATTTATTGGACATTTGGTGAATTGTAAAACTGTCAGCTTTAAACATTTTAATTTACAATCAATGGATCCTCAATCATAATAACAGAATATCAATTTCTCAATGTAATTGAAACACTTTTCCCATCAAACACTAATCAGTCTCATCACCTTTCAAGGTGCATTTGTTGTTTTTTGTTTTCTCCTGTTTTTTTTAATGATAAATCTCAAGTTGCCATTGTTATTCCTTATGAATCTTAAGATGATCATTGTAAGACTTTTTCTTCTTCTTCATTACAATAGAAAATCAATTGAATCTGAAGAAGAAGAAAAAACAAGGTAAATGTTGAATAATCGCTTGTTGATCAATGAATGATAAGTTGGGTGAAAGTGGGAGGTAAGATGGTAAAACAATGAGAAGGTGAACAATCAAGACAAACTTGTGTACCAATGTATCTGATTGTGCTGAGAGGCTCTTGAGAATCACAAAATTAAAAGTTGATCATTTTAATTGTGATTATGATTTAAGTTTAATTTTCACTTTTCCCTCATTTCTGGATCAATGTTACCAGAAAGGAAAGTTGAAACACTTTTGGGTTGACAGTTTTCCGTTCTTGTGTGTTGATAATCATCGAGTTGATCAAAGTGTTTTGACAATTAACGATCATGATTAAGCTGTTGATGAGTGAAAAAAGATGATGATCCAACCACTTACAAGTTACTCATTGATTTTGAAATAAAATGCTAACATTTCATGTCTATTTACAGTTATCGTTGAGAGAGCTTTTTGTGCTTTTGTTCAACTATTTTTTTCATTGAAAAATTCAGAGGAAAACTTGAAAAGGAAAATGAAAAAAGTTGGAAATTTTACATTCTTTCAGTTGAAGTTTAAAAATGATTGCAATGTTTACCAAGGAAAGCCAAAAGTTTGCTTAAACTTGCCATTTATTAGGTTAAGTAATGAGCCTTGTTGACCACAAACAACCACAGAAAATGCAATTCAATAAATCTGGATGCTCATTGAGTCCAATTATTTAAAGCTTGTATCCTTGATTCATCACTTTCATCGTATTTCTTGTAGTAAAAATATTTATTTATTTTTGCCTTTACAATTAACAGACTGCCATTTAACACATTACCGGCTGTGAGTTACGGTCAACTTGAAGTTAAACTTAAGTCGATTGATATGGTCTTATGATCGTCAATAGTAAATACAAAATGTATAATTGAAATGATGCACAAGACAAGTTGAATAATAACTTGTTGTCAGTGCAAACATTTGTTTTACCCTTAAAACGATTAACTGTTGTACCATTGGAAAGACCAGACCCATGCACTGTCCATGGCACTGACTGTGCAAAGGCTGAAAGGTTGAAAAAGACTGAACAGAAGAGTAAAAAATAGACTCAAAACTCAGACAGGAAACGCCAACGAAAACATCTTTTTTTTGCTTCTTCTTCTTGTTCGCCTTTACCATCGTCTTTCATCTTCATCCTCATCCTCATCAACCTTATTGCAAGGCCTCCAAGTGAGTAAAACAATTACACTTTCTCTCTCTTCTCCATCTTCATCATTCTCCCTCAACTTACCATGAATATTTATTGGAATAAGCAATAAACAATAAGCCAGGAAAAGAGGATGTTAAAGATGAGAAGAAGAAGAAAAGTTGGTTTTTATTTTACTTTTTTTTCTCTCTCTCTCTTCTTGTTTCTGTTAACAAAGTCAATTGACTTTAGAGGAGAGAAAAATTACTTCATCCTATCATAATCATCCTATCATCATTATCATCTTTTTCATCTCCTTTTACATTCCAAGGAAAGAGGAGAAAGAGAGAGTGAGAAAGAGCCAAAGAGAAGAGAAGAAAGAGAAAAAAAATAAACCAATGAAACAAGATAATTTGCAGTTACTGCAAGATACTTTTCCTTCATCACCATGATGATGATGATGATGATCATCTTTGTGCTTCATTTTTGCCTGTGCAAATATTATATGAAAAAAAGCAAGGTTAGAGGCCAAAGACGTTTTACAAGAAGAAACCTCAAATATCTTTAACAGAACCTTCAATTGCTTCTCAACAGTTACTCTTTATATTGCAATAAAAAGCATATAATTTGTGATCGTTTTAAGGTTCTGATAGATGGGAATAGTTTGTTCTGAGGAAGAGAAGAGAAGAGAGAAGAAGAAGATGAAGATGATGAAAAGTAAGGCAGAAAAACATTTCTTTGGATGAATGATGAATAAAGAGAAGAAAATTGAGGATTTATTATGTTGTTTTCAACCTTATTAGACGAGGGTTAACATTGAAAATATATTGATCATGATGATTATGATGATTATGATGATGATTAAGTGGAGCTTAAGAAATTGGAATATTAACCGGATAATTGGGATTCCATGAGGATTACAGTTTGAAACCTTAAATTATTGAATGATCAGGAAGACCATGATAATGATAATAATGATGTGAAACATTGTAAAGGTTAAAATGAGTTGAGGGAGGAAAAGGCAAAAGATGGATATCGAGTTAATTTGTTGTAAAATGATGCGAAAACGCGTAAACACAATGAATGTGTATAAAGTGATGATGAGAATGATGAAGATAAGAAAAGGAATATTTTCTCAGAAAAAAAGAAGAAAATTGTTTGAAGAAAAAAAAAGCAGAAAACTAAAGAAAAGGTAAAGATAATAATGGCCAGGCCAAAGATTTACGTTTGTTTACCAAATAACAATCAATATATAATAACATTTTTGTTTCAGCTTGACTACCTTTTGGGTTTATTATTTGTACAGAAAAATGATGATCATTCAAGATGATTGGGAATGATGAAGATGATATCAGTAAACTTGTTTGTAAGTTTGTTTAACATGTAAAAAGATGATCGTTTGAATAAATATTTTGACCGGATCATAAACACATCGTTTCAAGTCCCATTGACAGTGAATTTCAACCTTTGCACAGTTTACATTTGGAGAAACCTCAAAAATATATTTAGTTCTTGGTTCTTGTCCCTCCCAGTTGGTCCTCTGAAACAAACTAGACTTTTTTACCTCATTAGAGACCAATTTTTTATGCCTTCAGTCACACCATCTTCATCGTCTTGTTCATTAACATCTCTTGTCTCCATTCAATTGTTTGTCTCAAGTCTACTCTAGAAAAAGTTAACCCAAAAATATTAACTAGTTATTTACTTGGCACCATTCAATTTATAGACTTTTTACGCTTCCAAAACGCATTCTCAATTTCAATGGTTCGAGTCTCTCAACCTCACCCAAAGCCGAAGCGTAAAGCGCAACCAGAAAAGGTTTACCTGTTCGCCTTGTGTATCTGAAGGAGTGAAACAAACAAACAATAACATTTACAAACAGATACTTGCTACAAAACTTATTAGTTTTAACTTGAACTGTTGATAATTACAGATATCACTAGTTAACAGTGAAATGGTTGAGATTGCAAGGAAGAAAAAAGAGTTAATTTTCTGTCTCGAGCTTTCAAACCTTTTTTTCCCTTCTTACCTTTACCACTGTTATTAACCACGTTATCTCAATAAAAACCAATGTTACCTTGAAAATCAATCAAGAGTTAAATGTATGTTAACAGAGATGAAAGAGAAACAATCAACAGTAAATTTAAGGTAAAAGGTAAAAAGAAAAGGTCTTCGCCATCTTCTTCTTTTTACCTTTTTGCCGATGATTATTATCATTTATCTTTTCAACCTTTGCTTTTCTACCTCACACGAACAGTGATGATGACAATTGATGATGATAACGATGAAATAATGAGCATTTTGTTTCTTTCCACTCTTCTTGCCAATCGGTTGCTTCCATCGTTAGGAATAAAGGTCTCAATTGTCATCGCGTCAACATCAACAAATCACTCGTTCAACTTTATTTTTATCCTCCAATCGATTGATGAAAAGTGGCCAGAAATTGGCCAGAAATTTTCATTCTTTCAAAATTACATTTGGCCAGGAAACCAACAATGATTGCAATAATGATTGCGTGTTGAATGACCAGCAAAATGACAATATCAACACTTGGTTAACTTTTGATAAAATTGAGTAAAAAAAGGAACCACAAAAATAGAAAGAAAATGTTTCTATAAGAAAATGTGAATTTTCAATTGCAATGCAAATACAAAAATACCTTTACTCTCAACATCATTATAAGGAAGCATAATCATTTGTGAATAATCATGAACATTTCATTATGAGCCAGGTCAACTAGAGAAAGGTTTGAATAACAAAGTTGATAATAATGGACTTGATAATGATGATTGTAATGATGATGAAAATGGTTGAAATATTTTCTCACAATTAACTTGATGATGTATAAATATACAAATGATCAACAAAATGAAGTGTAAAGGTAAAGTGTTGAACATGTTAATTGGTGAAACAATTTGATTGAAAGTTGAAAACAAATTAAAATCATTGTTATAACCGAGTTGATCAATGGCTATGATAAGGTTAAGTTAAAATTTTCATCATTTTCATCTTCATCAACTTTTCTCGTTACTTTACAGTAAAATTGAAGAGGCGTAAAGCGTAAAGACTCATCATCATCCTCATCATCTTCATCTTTACCAGTAATTTTGCTATTCTCACTTTAACTGTAAGGTTTGCTGTGAAAGTTTTGCTGTTCAACTTTTGTGCAAACCAATTATAGATGAAATCAACTGAACAAGAACAGATGATGATGATGATGGTTATGATGATGGTTAAGTAAAGAAAAGTAAAGATGATGATTAGATTAAGAGAAGGATGAAGTTGAAAAGTTAAGTTGTTAAATATTTTGTTGTTTTTGTTAGATTTTACTGAAAACTTTCATTTTCACCTGAAAAACCAAGTGAAAGTCAATGATGATGTAAAGGCAAGGAGAAATTATTTTCGCACATTTATACTTTTTTTTTATTCCTGTTCTTTGCTCAAGTCTTTTGTTCAGCTTTTACTTGTTCATTCGCCTATCATAGGCAGTCTATCATCTTGCATCCTGCACACTCTCTCATCCTCCCCTGTCTGCCAGTCATTCAATCCCTTGTCGAGCATGAACATTGTTCAACATCATCCAACCAATCGGATTAAACAATCACTAATCGCATTTGTTTCATATTTCAACACACGACAGTTTCGCTAATCGTTACAGACTGTTTCTCTTGCGCCAATGATACTATTTCAAATGTCGATAGGCGATTGGAATGAGAAAACATTTGATTGGTAAAACAAATTGAAAAGTTTTTCCATTAAAAGTCCATTTGAAGGAACCAAGAAAAAAATCTTGCTTCCGTTGAGCCAATGAACTGTTAAATGAAAATTGTTTGTTAAAAACAAAAATCCATTGCTTTACAAATTACTCTGAGAATCTCGTTGAAAACTTGTTTTTTCAGAGAAAAAAGATTTTGAAATTTTCAAAAAGACATGAAATCGAATGAAAAAATTAGCTTTTTTGGAATTCATAAAATGATTAAAACTTGATAATCTTGCTGTTGAGACAATGAATCTTTGAATGAATTGTTGAGTTTTTGATCAACTTGAAGGTTTTTTTGGTCATCGTTTTGCATCTTCATGAGATGATGACAAACAGCGTCTTGAATGGCGTTGAAGAACGAGAAAAAGAAGAAAAGAAATGAAAGAAAAATATTTGCTTGAAAAGTTGGTAAGAAAAGAGGAAAAAGAAGAAAGGGAAAAAGATGAAGATGAAGAGAAGAAAGAGAAGAGAAAAAAGTTTTCTTCTTGTTATGGTTATGTTCATTTATCTGTTTATTTGTGTTTAGTTATTAGTTTTACTCTCTGGATATTTGCATTTGCAAGTGCTTTTTTGTTGTGATCTTGTTGCTGCCGTTGATTTGCTTTGGTCCAGCTTGTTTATACATTGGACGAGGGAAGCAAACTGACCTAACAACCATAATCTAATCCGATTTATGCTGGTCAAGTTTTTTTTATTTACTTTAAAAGTCAACCTTTTTTTCGCTTGCTTTTCGTTCCACTGTTAGCTAAACCAACAAACAGTAAAACATTATTCACTCTTTCAACCTTTAAGGTAACTTTTTCCATCAAAAGTTGATCTCAATCAAAATGTAACTTGTTCAGATTGTTTGTCACAACACTGAGAGTGGACCAAGAATTGGTCAGTAGTAAAGAGAAATGAAATCTTAATAAAGACCAAAAAATAGATTCATTTTGAAATATCAACAATTGAAGTGGGTTTTACAGGAGAAAGTTTGTATGTTGATATGTTCAATTGAAAAGCATGACCAACAAGAAATGATATCAAATTACTTTACAAACATTAGTTTCAGAGGTTGTTCAATCCAGTCAAAATTGGTGAAAACTAAACAAACCCATTCCCAGGTAATTGCTATGAATGTTACCTTCAGTCAACTGCAAAATAGGAAAGTGAAAACTCTTTATTTTATGACTTTCCAACAGTTGCAAGTCAATTGACTTTTATATTCAATTTCAAAATTCATCAAGTTCAATTAACAGTGAAAAAGCCTGACTTGATAATGTTTTCAAAACTAATGTCAAAACTGACAAAAAAGTGATTCTTGTTTGAGTCAAAAGTCTTGTTCAACTTTTATTCAATTTTGCAATTTCAATGTTTTCTTATAATTTGAAGGAAACAATAATGATGAGCAAGACCACCATGAAACTGATCGTTTCCTGTGCCTTAAATATCACATAATCGATGCACAAGAAGAACGAAAAAATGTTCAGATTCTCTTTTTTTTTGTCAAACTTGAGATGAAAAGTGAACACAAATGAGTGTCAAAATGCATATGAAATGAGAGTAAATGAAAAGATAAATAGATAAAAAAGGAAAGAAGAGCAAAAGAAGAAGAAAAAAAGTCAAAATGAAGAATCATGTTCATGGAATGTAAACTTTTCTCTTCCATCATCCTTCTCATCCAGCATTTGGAATCTACGATTGTTCTAGTGACCTTTTCTTTCCTTTTAAAGACATTAGTTGTTTTTTTCAAGACCACAGTTGGATCCTTTTCCCCTGGTCTCTTCTTGCTCTCTACGGGTCATCCAAAGTTGACTCAGTTTTCATCCCTCATCTTCATCATGTTTACTCATCTTTGCCTCTGTTTAAATACTCTCTTCTCTCTTGACCTTAAACCATATCGATTTTGACTCACAATCAATCAATCGACTATCGTTTTGATTCATTGAAGCATCATGTTAAATAAAAACAAGAACCCACAAAAAAATGGAGATTAGTTTAACGATAAGAAGAAGAAGAAGAAAAGATGAAAAAGGCTTTTTTCCAGCTTCTCTTGTGATCCATTTTAGCTCACCACCCTTGAGTCAAGACCTGATAACTCCTATGGAGCAAGACTAGGACTGTCTACAGTTTCGACCCTCTTTCACCTCCTTTTTATCCACCCTTCCACCCTCTTTCAAACCCGCCCGGTGAGTCTCACCTCAGTTGACCTTTGCTTATTTTTGGTGGTTTTTTGCTTTCTTTCAGTTTTTTCCTCTTTACTTTTTTCTCTTCACATTTTTACTTCTCATCTTGGACAGTTAACTTGAAGCAACTCTGCTGTTCCTACCGACTTGTGTTAACTTGTACACTTACTAGGTAACATTTTAAAGTCACAAAAATTGTGCGCTCTTTTGTTGCCGTTTTTAAAGGCAAACCTCTTTTTTTTTGGTTTCATCTTTTTTTGCTTTCTCTTCTTTCTTCACTTACTCTCTGCTTTTAGTTACTTTCTGACCTCTTCTTTTACCTACCTTTTAGCTGCTCTTCAAACGGATCAAGGTGTAAGATGCAAGATAAGAAAGTTACAGGATAAACATCAACGCTCAAGTTTTCTGGGTATTTATCCTGAAGGTCAAAAGGCGTGAGCAACTGATAAGTTAACCATTGATCTTTGTCCATTAATCGGGCCAAAAATGAAGGAAAAGCTGAAAAGATGAAAGGAAGGTAAGCAAAGTTGAAGTGATAGGAGGAGGTTGACTGTAAACACCTTGCAAAGTGATTGAAAGATAAAAAAAAGTTTAATATCATTAATAATCACAATGGTCTTGAGTACATTGATCAACAAGCAAAGGCCAAGTGTTTATTAATGCCTTACATCGGAAAAATTTGGAAACTTGAAAATTCCAGAAATTACATTTTCTTCAATAAAATGTCTTGAAACTGCTTTATGTAAAAAGGCTTTCAAATTCAGGTTAGTCCAGAATCGAGTCAATAAAGAGACAAATGTCTTCATTAATAACATTAATAACAAGCTAATGGATCATTCATTTAAAAGTAGCTGCTCATACAAGTTAAATCATAATTAAACACTTAATATGCTGATTTGCTTCAAGTTATTCAGGAAATTGATCGATAATCAGACAGTTTTGCATCTTCAACCAATTAGTCGATAAGTGGTCAGAATTTTCAATCAATTTCTTTTGATGAAAGTAAACCTTGGATTCTACTGAAACTCAATGTGAATCTGATGTAAAACCATACTTTTTGCATTCAAATTGTTCGTGTTTACTTGCGAAAAAAATGATAACCAAATGCGACTTAAAAACGTTATTTTTGCATCATGTTTAACGATGAAATTACATGGGAAAAATTGTCAATTCTTGTTTGATTTTCAATATTGAACAAAAAATGTTACTTTTTGTGATTTTAATGTTAATTTTTTATCACTTGTCCGACTGAAAGCTTTGCATTGAAATCACAAATTTTTGTTCAATTTTACTTTCATCTTCAAGAATCAGAAGCAATTCAGAGCTTGAATATGAGCTTGAAAGCAATTTGATGGCAATTAATTGAAGCTTCAATTTAGTTTATGAGCTGTTGAAGATGAAAAATGTGACACTTTGATTCAAACTGGATACAAATTGCACATTGGAATCACTCTAAACAGTCATTAATTCATTATCAATTCTTGAGTTGAAAAAAACTGCAAAGTTCAGGTAAAAAAAGATAGTTAACAAGAAAAGTAAAAACTTTCTTACCTTACCTATTTAGTAAATGTATGATGATGATATGAAGAGGCCAAGATTGAATTACTTTTGCCTCTTTGGTTATTATTATTATTATTATTGCTATCGTGATCATCACACTCTTCATCCTCTCATCATCTTTCATCTGCCTCACACCTTACAAGTGTGATTTCTGTATATTTTGTGTTCACCTTTTTTTTGGAACAAGAAGAAGAAGAAAAAGATTATCAAAAGGAACCATAAAATAGATTAAAGTTGGCAGTAAATCTGTTTTTATTTTGAAAGATTCTCAGGGAGGGAAGAGAAACTCACACTGGATTCAGATGAAACAAACTGATAACAAGATCAATGATGAACAAGGCGCCAGAACATGAGTGAAGGAATGATGAAAGGTGATGCTGTTGTTGATGATGATGATGAAAGGAACCGGTTTACCTGGTTTTTTATGTAGTGTCATCTCCAGTGTAGAGATGATCACTTATAAGTCGATGATAGTTTATTTTGATTTCTTCTTCAACTTTTTTTTACCTTTTCTTTTTTTTACAAAAGATTGAGATGATAATGAGTATCATGGTGACGATGATGATGATGATGATGATGATAATGATTCCAGTGGAATGTAAATGTTACCTCTGTAAATGTATTTATCTTGTTTCTTGCCTGGGCTTTCATGGATCAAAATAGTTGGCCTTGTTACACCTTAATTTTCATATAATCTTTCTATTCATCATTATTCATGATCTAAACATTTCACACTGTTTCTTCTTCTCCTTTGTTCAAAATTAATGTTGCTCAGTTTACATTCATTCCAGGGGGAATGTGCACAGTAATTTGCAGCCAAATCACGACGATTCAAGTTGACAGCCGATAAAGCGTTTCCATGGATTGGTAAATGTGCAAAATTTGCCATGTTAGTCCAGGGTTTAGAGTCGATTCATGATTTGATATTGAACATTTGATTTTTCCCATCGAGCTTCAATTTTGCTATGAAAATGATTTGCCTGACAATTGCTCGTTTGCTCGTTTAGATTGGCCATTAGTTGAATCCATTTTTAGTACAAACTAGATGTTGAAGGAACCATGTTGACTGTGCATTTTAATTTCGTCGCAGCTTCAGTTGTTTCTGTCCGAGAAATGGTCAATCTTTGGTGCAATCTGTGGGAATAACAAGTATAGTTTAGTTTTATGATCAAAAGGGATAATTTAGATGATTTTATTTGATTTGCAATTAGTATGCATCATTCAACTTTGTTCAAGTTGAGCTCAAACCGTTGGACTTGCAGTTAAGTGTTGGTAAAATTTGAAAATTTGCTCTTAGTTTAACTGTACATTCGCTTGCGGAATTGTTAATTAACTCAAGAACTCAACATTGATCTTTCTTTTCGCCATGGAATCTGAAAAATGTAACTTGAGATTTTTTGGCTTCTTTACACTCAATTTTTTCAGCATATTTCTGTTATTCAAGTAGCCCTTACCTTGAATGATTAAGAAAACCCTTACTTTTCTTTGGTCAGTTACTTTCACTCACTTAAGAGATGAAAAAGAGAAAAAGAGAGGTTGATGATGATGATGATAATGATGATAGGGATGATGAAGATGATGATGAGGAGGAGAACGAGGAAGAGAAGAAAGGTTAAACCGATGAAAAGAAGAGAGAGAGGGAAGACCATCCATTCTTGGCTGATAGTGCTAACAATGCCAAACCCACTTGTTGATCTCTCTCGCTCTTCCGTAGCTTGTTTAGGCTCTTATTGTAGACTCAACAAGAAGATAAAAGCGTGAAAAGAAAAGGGCAAAAAATAACAAGACAGAGAAAGAGAAAGAGAGAGAAGATAGAGATTATTATGGTGATGATGATGAAGAAGGAGAGAAAGAGAAGCAGGGAAGAGAGAAGAAGAGAGTGAAATGAAAATTTTGTTGAAAAAAGGTAAGAAAATGCCTTTGAAAATATTTTTTTGTGTATTTTTACTGTAACAATTTACTTTACCTTTTCTTTATTTTTCACTGTTTATACATAAATATACCTATTCTTACCTTTATTTCTTGCTCTATACTCACGTTTTAACCTTAAAATCGTTTCTTTCCTAATTCTTATTCTTATTTCTTCTTCTACTTCTTCTCCTTCTTCTTTTTTCTCCTTCACTTATATCTTGGCTCTTACATTATGTCCGTTAACAAATGGCCTAAAGGTTTGGTTTCAAAATCGTCGAGCTAAATGGAGAAAGGAGCAACATTTTGTATTAAATACGAGCTTCACTTTAACCAATATCAATGATAATAGCACCAATAATGATGATGATGGTAATGTTAACAATAATCACAATGGTACCAATGATAACAAAAAGTGGCAACCAAAACATTCAAAGTAACGTAAATCAATCATTAATCTGCTCAACCAGAATCACTTTTCATTCAGGTTATCAATTACGATGTTAATAATAGCGTTTTACATTTATAAATCGGCCGACTTTTGTATCAAAAAACCAAATTATTTACACAATTCCAAATCAAAACAAAGCAAAATTTTCCAAAATTACATTTCACTTGAAGAAGTAGATACTAGAGGATATTATCAGATATGTATTATCAGATATAATCGGATAGCTCCTTAAATAGTGTTGGATCAAAGAGTTGAATATCCTACTCTTTGTTTGTTTGGATTAAGATCTTCTGCCAGGACAGTTTGTTAATTATCCTCATTTTTCAACCACATTTTTACCTAGTTTTTTGTTGTTTTTTTATTTTAAGTTGCTATTTCTCTCTTTGTGAACGAGTTAACCTCATTATGGATGAATAATAATTTTTTGTTGGTAATTGTGAATCTTCTAGGAAAAAATTGGTAACCCTAAAATAACCTGATCAGGATAGATGCAAGCAAAAGCCTAAGGGAGAAACAAAAGAAACAAAGGCCAAATATGGAATGGAAAATATGGATAATTAGGATTAAGACAAGTTGAAAGGAGAGCTCAATCTGGATGGTAATAGACAATTTTAGTGACCCATCCTTGTAATTAGCTGATTGGTGGACATTGATGGACAAGGTGATGAAGAGTGGAGATGGTGCAGTAAAACCAACCAGGAACCAGGAAGATGCAACCCATCCAGTTGTTTGTTTTTTTTTGACCAAGTTAATCCGAAATTGGATTCCAAAGGGAAACATGAGTTTGCAATAATGTGAATGCAGATGATCAAGAAACGATTGTGAGAAAGAGAGAAGGAAAAAACGGCAAGCTAATAACTTGAAGAGTCAACTTGTATAGCAAAATGCTCTAGACTTGGTTGTTTAACCCTTGCCATAGCTGCAAGACGTTTTTTTTCTTGAGCCACTTCATCTTATATTAGATATTATACATATTCTTGAAAGCAAAATATTCACTAAGAATAGTAATAATATTGATGATAAAGTAGGGCTCATTATGATAATTAAACTAGAGTTTTCCTCGTTTTTTCCCTTTCTCTATCTCTCTTTTACTTTTCTACTCATAATTTTGCTGTTATTACTTTGACAGGGAAGAAAAGGTCAAATTTACTTAAGATGGAAAAGCAAAGACTTGGAAAAAAAAGGACAAAGTAAATGGAGAAGAAAAATTAAAATGATGAAAAACTTGCTTAGCTGATTATCCTTATCCTGACTGGCTTAAAGTTGATATGCTTTATGGATAAACTTGACCACAAGAAAAAGATTAGACCTTAAAACAAGTTTCACTTGTTGTTGTTATTCTTTTCTCCTTTGTTACCTGTACTTTGTCCTTTTCACTGGTCAAGGTTAACGGTCGAAATTGACCATTATTATCGAGAAGATAATGATTGTTTATGATTGTTTATTGTTGTTTAGATTGTCCAATGTTATTATCATTGTTGATCATTGAGTGCTTTACATTTTATAAATGTCAATCTTTTTTCCTCCACAAGTATATTTGCTTATTGATGTTATTGCTGGCTTATTTTAATTACTGTTTACCAGATTTCGCAAATTTATGTTACTATTTGAAACATGTAATCACAATTCAGTTTCCCTGTTGAATTTAGTTTACCTCAAAGAATCATTTTGTTTTGCAAGTTCCTACAAACAATTAAAATAACCAAAAGTCGAATCATGGTTTCAATCATTTCACTAACTAGATCTAATTTATTCTCAAAATGTCTTGCGAAAAGCAGCTTACCTCGGCATAAGCGACTAAATAATCCAGAGCAGTTATTTTGAATCAACACTGAATGAAACACAGACAACACTTGATTTTGATGTGGATTTACAAACATGAACCATGTGGTTCGAATTTTATTAACAATTTCAACTATTAATAAATACAACTTAAAAAACATTTAATCAACTATATGTTCATTTGATGAAAATCTTATGCATTTCTTCTTTCTCCTGCATGGTTTGCACCAACTTGATTGATCTTCAAGACCAAAACGCGCTCTACACTTTTTCAAAGCTCCTTCGGCTCGAGATTTTTCTCTCTTTTTCTTCTTCTTATTGTTTGCTGAATAATTATCTTTGGCAGTCCAACACGGATAAAGTTCTCGATGAACATCCCTCGCTGACCTAGCTTTTTCATAATATTTCTGCTGCTCCTCTGGACTTAAATCATGCCACATTTTCCCTAAAATTTGGTTTATAGTCGCAGACTCTTTCTTAGCACTTTCAGCCGCAACTTGAGCACGGTTTTCCTTCATAAACAACATGAAAGCATTCAGAGGTTTTTTCACATGATTCACATGATGAAGCGATGACGATGATAAATTACTAGATGAGGATGAAAGTTGATTGAATTGTGTTGTATCGGGTGGCGGTGTAAGCCCTTGAGAGTTTGGTGAAGGTGTTGGTATATGATGGTGGGGAGAAGATTGAAAAATTGGATGAAAATGGTGGGTCATTGAGGGTGGCAAGAAATGTCCAAAACGAAAATTATTTTGATAAATCCCGGAGGTTGGAGATGGATGAAAGTATGGAGGGAAAGGCGGTGGAAGTCCCATTGGATGCCATGGCGGTGGAATCCTCATGGAAATATTCTTAGTTGATTGCAAGTCCATGGACAAATATCCACCCATGTGAGCCGGTGGTGGTGGATGGTGAAGTAAATCCAATGGAGGTGAAGTGTATGGCGAGGGATTCCCATGGTAAGGCACAAACTTAAACGATTCAATTAAATTATTCTTTAATGATGAGTGTAAAGTTTCCGAGGCAAGTTTATCCTCTTCACCTTCTTCTTTAAATTCTTTAATTTCATCGTTAGAAGCAAGTTCATCATGGGACATATTGAGGAGAAACAAAAAAACATAAACAAATAGACTATAAATTAAACTTGATGTTACTGGCGTTCAACTTGTGAATGTTGAAGGTACAGCCTCCAAACCAAAGAGAAGCAGAAGATAGCACAAGAAGCTGTGGGTAAAAGTGAGATGGGACTAACTCACTAATCGCTGAAAGGAGAGCAAACATTGAACATTAGAGTTACTCTTTGGTTTACCTTGTTACTTTCAAACGCTTTCTGTTCAATCCAAAAAAAGCTCATCCCTTTTGAATGAGGATTGTCAGTGATCAATTTACCTTTTATATCAAATTATGATTTAATGGTTTCAACTTTATTCAACTCGCTAGTTGATCAATCCAAAACTGTTATTTTCAACGCAACTTCGTTCTGGTTCATTTATTGAATCTCACTTTTTTCAAACCGATGCTTACAATTTATTTGAAATCATTGATTGAATCAAATAGAGCTGACGATTGTTTCATGCCATTGATTTAATTTGTCTTCAAGAGATAAAATATTATTCAAAAGTATTCAATGATTACAAACATTTCCTGTAAATCTCATAATCAGTTTACTTGACATTGAAAACTGAATCTGAGCACTAAGAGGTACTGCTGAAAATGGCCTGAAAGTGGCTTTGATACAAGTAAGGGAAATTTATTAGATAAAAAGATTAAACTCTTTGGTAACTTATTATTAATACATTATTTTATTAAATTTCAAAACAAGAGCGACATCTATTAGCTACCAATGCAACAAATATTCAACTCTCTCTTTTTAGTCTACACTTTCAACTAAAAGTCCCCTAGATGGCAACATCATTTTTTCCTGGAAAGATGACTTGAATAGGCGACGGCTTTCAACTGCCAGGCAGTTTTAACGATTGCTTGTTTCAGTTACAAGCAATCGAATTGGCTCGAAATGTACTTGCACTAAACGATGCAAATTCAATTGAATTTGATCCAAAAACTATAAATCCAATTATTATAGATATGCCTGAGCATAATATGGGTCGGATGGGTGCAACAATGCGACTTGGCTTAAAGAAAACATTTGTCGTCAAAACATCGATTCTGAAGAGTTCATGTAGGGCGAAGTCATTCAACTTAAATCAAGACCGTAAATAAAATGTAAAATTTTACACGTTGTACAAATTGTCAGAACGATCGCTAGTAAAGGTTGCAATTTGAGCGTATAGTCAATGACAACTGATGAAGCGCTGATTACAATGAGAAAAGCCGTTTTGAAATATCTCTATCGGTCCAAAAGTTATTCGTGAAAATATGCTGTACCTGACTTATGCCACATTGGTTACCAGCACAGTTTTTTACCAATTCATAGATTAGATTATTGGTTAAACAAATTGCTTACCAATTTTACATAATCTAACATATCCACTTTTAATCGCCATCATATCATAAAAACGGTCAACAATTCAGGGGATTTGGGTGGTGGATAGTCTTATAAAAAATTGTTTGAAAATGTGGTGGAAAGAGCCGGTCTCTAATAAGTTTGCGTTGTGCTCCAATAAATTGTCGGATCTAGACACTGAAGTTAGTCGATCCTGCCATCGACTGAAATGAATTTATAGCGAATGACTGACTAATAGCTCACTAAGTCGACTCACTTTCTGTTTTCAGCATTTCTTTTGGAAAAAGTTGAAAATTTCAACGAATTTATGATTTTGCTCAGCCCCTCAGAGACAAAATGAGTTGTTTTTTGATCACATGATATTGACAGTGATTGTGAGTTAACTTGTTAGTCGAAATTTCATCGACTAACTTCGGTATCTAGTTGGAACCAAATGGATCATGGTGTACACTGTATTGTGGAAACATTTCGATGACGGTAATCGATGACATTGGAATAAATAAGCTTGCCATTGATATCACTATTGTTTAGAAAGATTCATCTGCAAATTGAGTCAACTACCATGAAAGAATCACTGGCCAACGTCCAATGAATATGAGAAGACAATTTTTGAAAGTTGCTGTGAAATATTGAAGAAAAATTTTTGATTAATATTACATGATCTATGATCGGTTTCTTACATTTGTCGTGTAAATGTTTGAAAATAGCATAAGTAAAGTTCCCTGAAGCTATGAGCTTGAGCTTTGAATAAACCATGAAGTTTAACAGATTACTTGTTTAGAAACAGCAAAAAGATATTTGACATGAGCTCAATGTTGTCAAGTTATGCTCATTTTTCATTCTGGCAACATTTTGCCTCAGTCAAACCTTTCATCATCTCAATCTGACATAAAAAGTCAAAACTGGAAGTGCGGAAGACAAAAAAATAGCAAGAATGTAAAATGCAAACTTTGATGTGGTTAAAAGGTTAAGGAATAATATTTTGGATGACAAAAAAAGAAGTAATAACTTTGAATTTCATCTAAAAAAAGCAGCATTGGCTTACGGCTATTTGAAAATAAAGTTACTCTATTATTGTTGATTAACAAGTTGATCCATCGATACTACTGATTGACATTTACAATGTTGATAACAAAAAATGTTGCCGTAAAGGTAATAATTCTGTAAATGTTATGATAAATTGTGAAGCTCAACAATTCCATTAAACTTGATAATCAATAATGGAAACGGATAACAATTATTTTTCAATAGAGTAACATTTTTCCTTTCCATTCTACCATAGCCTTGATCAATGATTCCTCCTTGATTACATTGAAAGATGATTGAATTGGTTGTTGGTATAAAAAAATGCTGTTTTCAAAATCAATTCTCTTTTCAATTGTCCTGATTTGTGACATTCAATATAGTCCATGTTAGGAGCGTTAATTCAATTGGTATCTTTACTTGCGAAGGGAAATTAATAAAAGATGATTGTATCAACTCGAGTCCCAACCAAATGAAAAGGTTTTGATTGGAAACAATTGCAATGGATTTGTCCAGATTTTATACCATCAAGTGGACACAATATTTCGACTTGTTTCTCCTTTAAGGTATCAACTCTTTTTTTTCTGTCCAGTTTCACTGGACCTCTTGTTTTCCTTCCTGTTTCCTTTCGTCTTTGCTTCTTCTTAACTCTTTCCGCATTTTTCGATGTCTCTCATTGTTTCAATGCTACTCAGTCCATTACTTTGCAAGATTGATACTTAAAGGAAAGGAAAGAAAAGAAAAAAAAAGTATTAGTTAAATGAGCAATTCCACGAATTGAGTAAAGAAATGAGGAAAAAAGGTAAGAGATTTGGATGAGAAACAGAAGGAATATAAGATAGTTTACGTTATAATAGAAATCGATAGTTAAGGCCTTTGATTACTTTTCAAGGAACCCAATATTTTTGGTAGTTTAGTCCATCACTGCATTCTATGGCTGCCACCATCATCACTGCCACCATTATTCACCAATCATCACATCTTTTTGACTACACCAATTTTCATCTCTTTCCTATTTTTCACCTAATTCACCACTCATCCATCTTAATTTTCTGTTTTCTGCTGTTTGATTATTCGTTTAACTTGATTTTCATCTTGCTCTTCATTCCATTGAATAATCTTGTCATTTGAATTAAGATGAAAACTAAAGAGTTGAGACTAGAGCTTCATCTTCACTTATCATCAGGGCCAAAGGAAAATCTTTTTACTTCATTCCAGTTGTACCAGTTTCTTTTGTCTTTAACTTTCCATTCCTCATCCTTCCCTTTCATTTCTGACTTTATCTTACTCAAAATTTGGGAACTAAAGAGAACATAAAAGCTTATTTAATCACCTTGAATCATTATCCACCTTTTGCTCTCCATTTAATCGCAATTCCCGAAGAACAATATTTCTCTAGATTATTTTCTTGGTCATGTAGTAACCTATCATAACCATTATCAGTGGCAGTTTCTCCTTTTCTGTAATTGTCTTGGAAAACCTTTTTGCCCTTTTACATTGTTATCATCATCATCATCATCATCATCACACTTTGTTCACTTTCTCTTCTTGATACCATCTTTATTGTCCAATCTTGCTGTATGTTTGTTGGGCAAACTGAATCATTCAACGGCACCCATCATGAGAATTCCTTGACAAAATAGCATCATGATTTCTTCTTTTTATTCTTCATTTAGAATCTCTTCTTTTCTCTTCCTTTTTTTCAACCAGCTTTCTCCATCGGATTCATCCATTGATGTCAATCGTTAGCACAATTTGATTTAATAGCTTACGATTCATACCAGCAGCAAATTTCAAGAGATCAGAAAAGGAAAGCAAAAGCTTTCTCAACTCGCCAAACCAATCATCAACTTTTTCTTTCTCCATTTTCCTCCTTGTCATCCCCAATTCACAATGGCCATTCCATCATCAATATACACCGTATCTGGTCATCACTTTTTTCCCTTTTAGCTAACTTTTTTAATGTTACAAGTCATCAACTCATTGTTGCTCTCCATTGTTATTTATTGAATGTCATCTCCATTCTTCAGCCTTGATCCATTTTTTACGACTTATTTGCTGCCATAGTATTCAACAATTTGAATCGCCAACCTCGAAAATGTTTTTCAATGAGATTCGTACAAATACATTATATCCCTTGATATTACATCCTTCATTTGACAAGCAATTTACAGGCCCATTCAACCAAATGATTGTTAAATCATAAATTTGATGACTACTTGCACAATTGTTGTCTCCAGTTGTTGGCCATCATTTCTGAAAAAAAACAAATACAGAAAGTGAAACAGTTAAAAAAATTAAGTCAAATGTATAATTTTTATACGATGCTCTGTGCAACTGGGTTAATAACTTACACTGAGATTAATGTATCAAGAGTATAAGCCGATTGAGAAAATATCCATCATGTTGAGTAAATCTTTGTAAGTAGTTTTCCAGATTCTGTAACATGGTAAGATCTCAAGAATGTTATGATTTGGAATAATCGATTATACTCAGCAAATGAATATAATATCTGGAGTTTATCTTTCAACTCAGATTCTTTAAGCAACAATCATGAAGAAAAATTCAAAAGAAAAGATTAAAATCTGATGTGATTTCTCCATTTTATCCACTCGAATGGATCCACTCAAAAACCAGAAGACAGGGCAATAGATTATGATGATTACGTTTTTGAACCATTGCGAATGCTATAAGAAAGCAGACACATAAATATTAATAAATCATAAAATTGCAAAGTTCCAATTAAGTCTAAAAACCTCAGAGGTATTCAGTAAAATATTACAAAAAAAAACAACAACAAACTCTCATTAGAGAAATGGAATCAAGTGTAAAGCAAATCGCTACGTGTTCATTATTTCAACACCTAAAGCTAACATTACTTAACACTGATTTACGAACAAAAATTGGTTTCAATAAATTGTTTTGTCGACACGCAAGCTGAAATGTCGATCATTCTTGGTATAATTTGCTAGAAGAGGCATTCTGAAATGTATGGAGGAAGTCTCTGTTTAATCGAGAAATTCATCTGATAGAATTTCCTTTGAATAAAAATGATGAACAAAGACACATAAAAATTTAACATTGAGCAAATATAATTAAATTATCTGCAACAATTGGGTTTTAAAATTGAATCAAAGAGAAAACAAAAGGCCATTCTAATCAGGAAACTTCCATCTTTTCAGGATGCTTGTTAAAGTTGCTTTCTTGTTATCATGGCAATCTTAAATAGAGCTGCAAGATTGTCAGCCTTTGGTCAGACATCACAAAGCATCAATCGTTGGACCAAATTCAATTGAATCACTCGACACCAGTAAAGAGAGTTAACTCTAAACCTAAATTGGCTTGATAAAAGCAAGTCATTCAAGAGAAACATTCATTGAAAATAATGAGCACAAATATCGTAACAGAATTTTCAAGCAAAGACGAAAAAATTTGCCAATCAAGCTGAAAATCATTTAAAAATAATTGAAATTAACACTAAAAAACGTTTTACTCACCTCTAACCAGTTTCCTCCGACACTGTGTCCATTGTTTAGTCTCACGATCACAATGAAAGTCCACTTTAATCGAAATTTGGGTTTTGTTCAAGTTTCCAATTAACAATGAAACAACCACAGAAAAATTTAACCGGTTAATTGAATAAATTGAAAATTTTGAAAACCGTTGACATATGAGAAACAAAAGAAACAAAAGATAATGGCTTCCATTGGCGCTTAAATATCTTTGATGAATAACAGTTGATTAGAAAGACTTTATTTCAAAGAGTAACAAAAGCTTCTCTCTGCTTCTTTCAGACGATTGTCTAGCCTCTTTATATCTTCCTTATCATCCTTTGTCACTTGCTAAAGTTGAAACTGTTTGATTTTTGATATTAGATTATTTAAAAATTTCTTTTTTTTCTTTATTATAATTTATAATCCAAGTTTTTATCAGATAAAATAGACGATTGTTTAAGGAAACCAGTTTTCTTTGTTAAAATCTAAACTCTTTACCTTACCTCTTATTTATGTGCATTTCTGGTATTTATTTGGTGTAATCTTTTATTCCCTCATACATAATCATTTATCAAGGGAAAAATGTTCAAGGTATGGAAATTGTCCACGTTTTTCAGCTCCAGTTATCCACATTTTAGTCAAATTTTCATTGGTACCACTGTTTTGGGATTTTTGTCAAGTTTTTGTGTTCCAACTTTTATGTTAATATATTGAATTGTAAAAGTGATTAATCTCTAAACCTTATAAATGCTTTCCAATTTGCTTTACCAGTGCTTATTCTAGTGTCTCAAGCCATCCAAAAGTTAAGGTATCACGTATTCCATCCTATTATTGTTTAATGTCAACTTTTCTAATCATGTTCGCTCCACTCATCTTGTAAACTGAACTGCATTTACAATAACTAGAATTGCTGGTGCATCAAATTCTAATTTAATTGATAACTTAAGTGTTTATCTGTTCTTCTCTTTTCAGATTTTTTTCTTTCAAATTCGTCAACCAGTCTTTTTTTTCATTTCAATTTCTTGGAAAGAGAAGGCATTTTCATCAAACGAATCATTACAGGATTCCTGTGAATTCTTGGGGATCAATAATGAAAAAATAATGACTTCCAAAGTTGTTTAACCACCAAATGTGCTCTGTGATTACAATCAAATCGTACAGCAACTATTTTTTGGATTTTCACTCTTATTTTTTGAGCATTGAAACGAACCAAAATGCTTTTACATTAACTTTGAATTGGAAGGATTGAGCAAATTTCCAGGAAAGGTTAATTAACACTCATCAAGATATAAATCTTTCATCAGTTGACGATTAACGAGAAATTGAATGGACAAATGAGCTTCATTTCAAGAAATACAATGATTCCATCTGACAGAGTAAATTAAATCTATATCTCGAGATATAATGTACTACAAGTTTTGATTGATTCAATTACATCAGATGTCAATTTTCATATGATGTTCAACAAATTCATAAAGAGCTGTATTATTGTCTGGAAAATTTGCATATTGTCAAACAATTGTGTTGAAATACGAATAATACCAGATCTAGAATATTACAAAGCTTGAAGGGAAATTTAATGATATTGCTGATGACAATGACAGCTATAAACTACCATCATGTTAATTTCATTGTAAGCAACTGATGAACTCATGGAACCCCCAGGTAAACTAAAATTGAACTCACAATACAAAACTGTATTACAAATAGTCTGTAGGTGTAATTATGTAATATTTTCTCTGATTCTAGGTTTTTCCATAATTATCGTTGGGAAACAATTTATCTTCATGCAAATTGATTGGTATCGGCCATTCTTTCATTATTTCACATAATCGAGTTCAAAGGCAAAGCAAATATGTGATGAACCAAGCCAACTATTCATCTTTATTATCCAATCGATTACCGTATCTGGTCTTTAACCTCTGTGAAAAAAAGGTATTAATGTTAAATTGTCGTAATCACTCAGGCCTGTTGAACTTGACCCAAAGATAACATACACTGAACCTTTATCAAAACTGTATTATATCACTAATCATGCTTTTACCTCATTTAATACCACAAGTTCAAGTTGGCCATTGCGTTGAATGGATGTAAACAAGAACAAGCAATTTACCAAGAAATCTAAGCCAATTTTAAACGTGGATCCAGTGAATCAACTACAAGAAGGATTACATGAAACCTTATGACCCAACAAAAAGCCGTTGCCAATAGCAAGAAAGGATATTAGGGTCAACAAAGTCCATTTGACCTTATAGTTGGCAAGAAAAAAATGATGAGATTTTTATTTGCAACATGAAAAGTATCAATAGCTGAGCAGGAAAAAAAACAGCAAAATAAAAACTTGCCTACCAATAGTTATTACTAGCAACTGATTAGTTGATAATACTTACTAATAATCAGTAACACCATAATCATGTGTAAAAACAGTAAGATCGAGAAACAACATTATGTCCTTTTCAAACCTAACCTGATTGAACATTGTGTATTAGTTGTTTTTTTGATTACAACTCTAAGGGCAGAGAAAATGATTCAATATAATGATGATGATTATGATAATAATAATGGTCAATTTAATAATATAAACTCTTATTTGTAGCTAATAACGATCAATAATAGATAGAGTGTCCAATCATTTGAAACACGTAAGTTGCAATCCTTAGTTTGACAGTTTGCATTCATTTTGAAGCACTTAACTCTTTATTTTCCTCTTTTTTTCTTCTATTATTCGTTTTCCCAGTGATTCTCTAGACGCTTTTTCAACCACATCTTGATCTTCATCTTGATTATCATTATACTCATCATACTCTTCATCCTCTTCATCATCTTTATCATCTCCCACGATAAAACTAAACGTTGAAAGCAACTTAATGGTCACCATTAGACAAAATATCTGGTAACAATCGTAGCTACTTTTTTCAAGTTACTGTCAACTGAAGCGTTCAACTTTTATCTTCATCTTCTATTCATTTTTCATCTTCATTGAACTTGGCTTCTTCCCAAAAGCAAACAGCAACAATAATATTATCATCATCATTCCAAAGTCTCTTCAAATCTTTTCAAGTCGATTAGCATCATTCCTTTCGCTCTTTTTTTTTTATATTTATTTATTTTACTACAAAATAACTTTTCTTTCCTTTCCATCTTTTTTTTAATGTGATTACTTGAAAATGAATAACATATTTGCCTTGATACATTTACAACTCATTTAACTATTATCATCATTAATCATCATCATTATCATCGTCATCATGTTCACGCAGAGATATTGTCATTGGAAAACATTGAAAGAGTTGAACACAACAAATGGAAACAGTCGGTAAAGTTAAACAAAATTCAACTTTGCAAAGATGAACATTTTAATATCACAAAATAAATATTGAATTATCATGTCTTTCAGTTACAATATTTGATATTGAAATTTCATCTTACCATTTATCAATCATTTGTCTATTAATTATTACACTCAGTTCACATTGACTCAAGCTTATAATGAAAAAAGAAACAAAATCAAAAGATGAAATTATATTCAAAATGATTCTCAATTCTACTTCAATTTCTGATTGTGATTACTGAAGCATATTTAATGCTGATCATTGGCGGAAGGAAATTTTCAGGGAATCTCAGTGATTAAAAAGAGTCTTTAATGGAGTCAGCATTGAATTACATCCATTATTTAACTAAGAACCTGAATTTTAATATCAATAATTACCGAACAAGTAATCCATGGTAAAATTGATTCATCTTTGATCAACTTTCTATTACTGGTTCTCCTCATTGTAACATGATTTTTCTTGCTTTTTCATTATGAATTTGAGTCTTTGAAAGGTAAACTGATGGTGACATTTTGATCTGGAATCATTTTAATATCCAACATTAAAAAGTCAATATTTTACTTTCATAAATATCGTCGATATAATCACATTTTCCCATCATTATAAAGAAAAATGATTAAATTGAATTTCTAATTTTCATGTTTTCCATTTCTCATTTTAGACTCTTTACTTTTTTCTTCATTTCTCACCAAAACTCACAAGGAAATCCGTTTCTTTTCATGATGTATTCCAAAGAGAAAATTTTGCCTTTCCTTTTATCTCTTAATCTTATTTTTCATCATTTCCATTTGTTCATGCAACTGCGAGATATGGAGAAGAAGAAGAAGAAGAAAAATTTTCACCAAAATGTATAATTTTCAAACTAATAAAAGATTTTCTTTTCTTCCCTTCCAGGTTCATGATGTCAATCGATAAAGCAATAAAGGAATCAGATTAATCACATCTAAAGATGAACCTAAAAAGTGTATTCAAAAAGGATAACCAATTGGAAGGAGAAACTAGGGAAAAAAAATCAAAATTTGAAAGTTGATTCAAATTTAATTTCAAATTTTAATTTCCTTTACAATTGTTGATTCCTTCACCAATCTTGCCTTTCCATCTGTCCTCGTCACTTCAACCTTTTTGGCTCTTCAATCAACATCACTCTTGAAAACACTTGAAAGTCAACATTAAAACTCTGGTTCCTCCTAATTTAACTTTTAATGGCCAGAAGTAAATTGAACCATTAGTATCACTTGTCCACCTCACTATTCATTATTAACTGATAACGATAAATAAATTATCTGTTAATGTGAATAGTGTTTGAAACAGTACCTCTTTTTGTTATCCCATTATATCAATTGGACCTTTGAATTTACCACTCCCAGTTAACCCTACATTTAGATTATTCATGATGATTAACATGATGAACAGTGACTCTTGAAAGTGACTCTTAAAAATATCCAATGCAAGTATCCGTTCTGTTAACCTCATTACCTTTAACCTAATCTTGAATTGACTTTTTTTCCTCTCTCTTTACCCTCAGATACAAAACCATGGGAAGCAAGAAGTAAAGTGACCAAGAGTCGATGAATTAACTGAATTAAATGAAAATAATGATGAAAGTGTTGATCATCATATTGGTTTTCCAGTGGCTATTATTAGTTAGACTAAACTATTAGTTTGATTCACACCAACAGACAATCAAAGTTAAGTAACAGCAATTTATCAGATACCAGGAAATGAACACGAAAATGGGAAGAAAACGATGAAGATGAAGAAAATGAGAAGATAAAGGATTAAAGGAAATGAGCTAATAAAAAGTTATTGAGATGAAAAAAAAGGGATGAGAAAAAGGTAAGAAGATGAAGATGAAGAAGATGAAAATACAGAGCTAACAAGTAAAATTGTAATAGCAACAAAGTGTAGCCACTTGAAGCTTTAATAATCTTGCATTTATATCCTATCCTTAATATACTAGCCAAACTCCAGGGAATCACTAGAATCACTGAAACTTGAATGATTTAGAGTAACATGAAGATAATGATGAACAATGATGAGCATTGAAATTGTGATTATTAATAGCAGTGTTTAGGTTGAATAAAAAATGGTCCTTTCAATACTCAACAGCATTCAACTTTTGTCTTCAACTTTTAATAATCTTTTTCTCTTGTTTTTTCCATAATCAATTTATCTTTTCATGGATTTACTGTTTATAACACTATTATCATGATTACATGAGCTTCATTTAATGAGCAATTAAATAATTGTTAGAGTCAAGACAGTCTAATGAGTACACCGTTTAATTAAACCTTTTCAATACTTGAACTTGTTTACATTGACTTTGATTAATTTTTAGCATTTAAACAAGTTTCTTTTCTCAACCTTTTGAATATTTCCAAATGATCAGATAATTGTTGCTTCCTTCAATCAATTTTCATCATGAATGGTTGCAGATGAATTTCCTTTGAGTCAACTTGAAATGAAAAAAAAGAGCGACACGAAAAAATTAACCTTTCATTGTGATATGAAAAGCTGTTTTGTTTACATGATTCATAGATGAACTTTTATATATCTGTTACATGGTAAACTACGGCGCAAGTTCACATGTTTTTACCTCTAAATTACTGAGAATCATTGGAATCCTCTGAATCTCTCAGTTGATGGTAAGCAATTGAATAGGAATGATCAATGTTGTAAACATTGACTCTTTTCAACTTGAAAATGTGTGCTCATGTAAACATTTCAACTCTACTTGTCAAATTAATTGAATAATAATGTTCAGTCTTTTGCCTTTTTCCTGTTAAATTAATGGTTATATTTAATGATTTAAATCAACACTAAATTTCATTTTACCAATTGGATTTTAATTCAAAAAATTGTTCAACCTTTCTAATTTGATCAACAGCAAGCAAAAAATGTGTTCCATTGGATTTAATCATCTTTATATCAACTTTAATTTTCATCTCTTGTGACTTTTACCTTCTCAATCATCAACAATCTTTTTGATATCATTTGAAATCAAGAAATGAAACTCAAAATATCAAAGTGAACATTTGAAATGAAATTTTCCTTTGTTTTCAAGTCAAAAGGTTAACTCTACAAGCAACTTACAAGTTTAACTTCAATGTAAGTTTAGTAGTTTTCATACTAACCTCCCAATGATAATTGTTAATCAAGTAAATTTAGATTTCATTACATTCAAAATATTTGGAGTCAATTGCCTGGATCTTAGTTTGGAGTGAAATTTTGACCAATATATCGGTCTGTCTTGATTCATGAATCGTCAACATTTTAATGATTTTAAGTAAAAGCGCTAGAAGTGAAGTCAAAAGTCACTGACAAAGTTTTCGTTGAACGGATCATCCAAACCTAAGCTGACCTTACCTAACCTGAATTTGAATATGACATCTGGACAAATATTGTCAGTCTGAAGATGAAATCTCAGAAGCAAGTTGAACAGCTTTGTTGACAAAGTTCATCTTTAATTAAAGGTTAAATTCATTAGAGATGGGCAATGCAAAAATCTTGAGTCCTTTGACTATTCTTGAAGAGGCACATTATCCGTAATTAAAAAAGCATTTTCATTAATCGACTTTCAAGTGGTCAATCTTGTGTTTATCCAATCTAAAATATTAATTTGTTGGCACCTGTTCAAAGGATCAGATGCATTCCGAACAAATTACCTTCGATACAAACATCTTTTCCAATCTAAATTTGATAGCAATTTACTCTAATGATTTGACTATAAATTAATGAAGAAATGGGTCAAGCATTTTGTTTAGATTAACCTTTTCTGGTCAACTTTTTTTACTTTTCAATCGATTTATCGCTTAACCTGTTTGGACTGTTTAACAATTCACTTAAACTCTGAACAATCGGATGAATTTAAACATTGTCTAATTAACTTGAAAAAATCAACTCACATTTTCAATGAATAATGTCCAATTACTGGTGAAACTCAACTTTTGAAAAGTTTGCTTTTAATTGATTAACAGCAATTAAACTCAAGTTTGAGTCATTGAACTGAACCAAACCTTGAAACGGTATTTAGAAACAATTTACGCTGAGCCTGATCATGAATCTTAAATGAAAGCGAAAATAATTGATTCTTTATTGTGATTCCTTCCCTGTTGGGAATCCTTGACAATCCTTTCCATTTCATTCCCATTCACTTGATTCTCAACAATTGCAATTATTACAAGTGAATGACATTTTTAAGGTTCATTAAATTTTAGATAACCTAATTGAATTGATCAAGGCAAACCAAGGAAAAAACAAACTGACAATTAACCAAATTTACCAATGAAATTGCCAATCAAATCAACTCCTAATCACTTTACCTTTTCTTTTCCTTTATACCTTTGCCTTCAACTTTAACCTGTTAAACTCAACAATTTAACAAACCATTTGAACACTAATCAATTGAAAATTCTCAGTTGACTTTTGGATAAACTTGAAAGTTAAACGATAAGTCTCTCTGTCTTCAAATCGATCTGATCCACTTGAAATGATCCAAGAAAAGTTCCAACTTTTTTCTTCTTTTTCTCAACTGTTCCTTATAATCTGTCAACAATTTAAGCTTATTGACCATAATAATGGCAAGTAAAAGTCTGTATATTTAACCATGTTTGACCATTTTCCCCATGAGATGAACTTTAAACTTCACTTGAAGTTGTTCATTTGACAGGTTTAATAGTCAATTTCAGTTGTTTACAATTGTTAATTGTTGGCCCAAAATTGAAAACAAATTGACATGGAAATTGGCAAAAAGATGATTTATTCATAACTGAACTTGAAATTTAAATGCAAATTGATTGAAAAGTGGAAACAAAATTGAAATTGATTGTGACAAATTGCGACAAAAAGTAAACACTAAAAGGCAAATTGAACACCATTAAGTTGATTAAATTAAAACAGTTAACATTTATATTCAAGTTAATAACTAAAATGAATAAAAGTCAGTAAGATTTCAGCTAAATGACAGTAAATGGAGAAATTAAATTTCGTCTTTATATTGGATAAAAGTTAATCAATTTGAATAAGAAATTTGATTTAATTTCTGAGAAAACCATTTTTCCTCTTAAAAGGGATTTTCATTAAAATTGAAAGAGTTTCAATCAATATTGATTATTTAGTGTTAACAGTAATGATCATTAAAATGATGAACCATAAAGCAAAGTAAATAAAAAATTTGAATTTACTTTATCAATTGTTCATTCCCTGTAATCAATCCCAGTTAATCTTGTAATGTTTAATGTGATTTGAGATTGTTTAGCTTTTAATGAAAAGTTGAAAAAGCAAAAAATGTTTATCAATCAATTTGGATGTTTCCAGATGAAAATAACATTTTTTCTCGATCTTTTTTGATTTACCTTTTCCTTTACATCTAATAAATCTTAGCTTTTCAACTTATCAATATTATCAAGCAAAAAATGAGGTTCGAATGATGAAGATGAATGATGAAAAATTGCAGAATTTTCATGATTAGCTTTGAGCGTAACAAAAAAAAGAGGAGAAAATTATTTTATAAGAAATAGTAAAGTTGAAATGAAAGGTTAAAAGTTGCAGCATTTACCAATCAAAAGTGATTCAAGAATATTGGAAATGAAAGATTTCCAAGAAAAATATTTCTTCTCTTCCATATAAACTGGCCATTTCTCATTCATTATGACCTGTTTAGTTTCAAAACAATTCAAGTGTCATGAGGGAAATTAGATTGTTCATCAACATCATGCAAAAACCAAGGAAAACTGGAAGCCAAAGGCGAAAATTTTGTCCAGCTTAGGAACATAATATTCATGATTCGTCCCAAACATAATTATGATCTCGATCCTCAAGTTTTTGATTCTTAAAAAATCAATTCTTTTCTATCTGTGATTTCTGAATCCATGATCTCAGTTCTCTTTATGATTAGATCTTGATAAACTTCTGAAAGTTAAGTTCTGTTTTTTGTTGGATTCTTTGGTCAAATCAACTCATATTTGAATCTTGTAACTTCAATCAAAATTAAAAAATTACACTAAATGTTTGTATGAAAATGAACGAGTCTGATTCACAGACGAGTCAATTTTTTATCACAAAAAATCATGTTCATTGAGTTGAAACAAGTCTTTTCTTGATCAACTAATTCATTTGTTTCTTCATTCATTAATCTTCAATATTTTCAAAGAAACATTTTCATCTCATTTTCATCTTCACTTGTCAAAACATGTCAAGTACAAGATTCACAGAATCACAAGTTTCATTGTACGCTTAATGTAATTGAATCAATCTTTTAATGCATTTGATTAATAATTCATTTACAGATACATTAAGAAATGGATTGTTTTCCCTTCAATTGTTAATCATTTACAGCGACAACTTTTTTTCCAATCAATTTTGGCTTCAAATTTTCACTTTTTTCCCATCAGTTTAATCATTAGTCAATTTTCATTGTTGGATTTCATCATTTCGTCTGTTTATTCAATTTCATTGCAGTCGAGTTTAAAGTTTAATTTACTTTGCATGATCAATAAATCAATAGATTGTTGCTCTTCAAATTATTTTCCTTTCCATTTCCATCGTGATTCTCATTATTAATATCATTCCTTGTTATGCCAAGATTTTGATAACATTTTCAATTGCATTTAATATTTGCTCAACTCTTTTCCAACCTTATTTTTGTTCAATCTATTATTAGCCCTTCCTTTATCCTTACTTTTGTCCATCACTGGAAATGACCATTAACGTTTATCTTTATTTTATCTACGATTATTATTATCTTTTTATTAGTTTCACTTAAGTGTTTAATGTTTACCGGAATCATTTTACTTTTAACAAAACTCAGAATCGGTAAAAATAATAAAAAATCCAACATCGATTCAATGATATTTATTGTATTAAAAGGAGTAGGAATTAGTTTCTTTTATTACATAAAGAATAAAAGTTTCAAGTTTACATTGTTTTCATCTGGAAACTCAATTAAGACAGATTTAATTCTGATCTTTAAATTATTGCTTTTAGTCTACTTTGGTCTTGTTTCCACAATTGTTTACTTACATTCCAGTCTATTTCGAGTTGAGAGACAATTTTTTTTATCGTTTTTCGATTAACCGATTGTATTAGCAAAACGATACAAGATTAATGCTCTTCCAGCCTGAGATAATTCATGATCAAAGTAATTAAGTTCAACATGAGCTTAAAAATAATCCGAGTCCAAGTTTGGGATTTCGGGTTGGCGAAGCACTTATGCTTTGAATAGATACTGATAGAAGGTTGACGTCTGAGTTAAGTTTATTCAGAGTTTTTGCTCTTTAAAAGTTCTTAGTTTTTTTGGTTTGTTCATGGAAGGAACGAGTCGCGATTTGCATGAATATTCAGTGGAAAGTTGTCATTCAATCTTTATTGGTTGCACGGTAACCTGAAAAAATTTGATCATTTCCGTTGACCTTTTGGTGATTGGCTTGTGCAATCGTTCAAAGTGAATTTTGAAGCAACTGAATATTTCAGCAAATTCATTCATCTATCTATGGTTGCTTGAGGAACACTATAAGCTTAAAAAAATTCACAACAATCTCAGGCTATGAAAACTTTACACTATTTGGATAAATAGAAATGACAATTTCCAACTAAACAATGAAGCAAGATAACCTGAATATGTTATACACTCGGAATTAATATTGATAATAAACTTATCCTCGATTCCTGAGAAATTTCATTGCTCTAGTTAATTGAATTCTTGACGAAAATAGATTAATCCGATTTCCAAGTATTGTCGAATGATTTGGAAAAGTAAATGAGATTTTCTTTATTAATGTTTCAAGATTCCAACATGACACAAAGATCGAATTACAATAGTCTGATTTATCAGAGAATGAAAAGCTCTTTATTTCAAAATTTCTCTCTGAGATCAACTTTTCGTCGAAAAAATACGGACAAAAACGAAAGTCTAGTCTATTTTTCAAAGCATCGGTTATTCATCTCATTGAATCCATTTCATAAAAGTTTCAACATTTGCTATTCACCTTTAAATCGGTTGAATGATTTTGAAATTTTGTTGATAATTGAAAGGATTAACCTGTTTTCATGGTCAATTTCGTAGACGAAATGTCATCAATAATAGAGAGTTATCAGATTGACCAACTGTC